CCTAAGTGTCGTATTCTGTCTAGAAGGAAAGCACCTAAATCATAAATTTGGCTCCACTTCATTAAGGTAAGCAACCACAAAAAGAGCGCATCTTGCACGATTCTATTTATCACCAGATATGGCTGACTTCGAAAATTAGAAAATATAATCGTAACGGGGTTTATTCATATAATCGCCTAAATATTATATGTACTTTGTAGTGGTTAAAATGCGCAGATTGTACTTTACCCCAGTGATATTCTAACTCTGATGAGACCTCGCAGTCATGTGAGTTTAGTAAATTAGATCGCATATGGCGGAGTAATCGTTCCTCAACAATAGTTGTACTGAACTTACAGAGCCCTAGCACGCGCCTGGGTAAGCCTATAATGTTGGGTTAAGATGGGAAGACTTGTGAGAAGGACGAACCCTGCTAACTGGGAGATTGCCATAATATTCATGTGCGCGGCACTCTTAAAAACCCAATTTATTTCTACGGCGCTCCAACACGCGGAAGCCGAAAAAATTAACCTAAATCACTTCGGCTAAGATCCTCCAAGACGAAAAAAATTGAACAGGACAATTTAAAAGAAGTCGTCTCAATTTAAGATACCCGATATTCCAGATGCCTCCGCTTGAGAAGCGCTAAGGAAGCGGCAGAAATCGACGAAGACGTAGATTTCGGAGGGTCTTCTTGGTTGATAAAATCCATGACTATCTGTTGTCCAGACTTATGAGCTGGCTGAAAAAACCAACAAAGAGCTAATGCCAATAAGGGGAGAACTCAACAGCCGTTACAGCAGTTAGGCCATTGGAACAGAAAGGCAAGTTAGGAAAAGTAAAGTGCAGGGGGTGGGAGTAGTGCAAAACAGACATACACAACAAGCAGACTAATTAGACAAGCAGATGCACAGTAATTATGCTCCGACAGGAAAACAGACAAAACTGACCGGTTCCTTCCTCTTAAAGGGAGGTGGGGGCGACGGGAGTGAAGCCAAGTCCACCTGCTTCCCTACTGTCGCCGCGGAGTATGTTTCATTAAGAGACGTGAGAATTCTCTCGTACTGCCCCAAGGTGGCAGACTCATCGGCGCTGAGATTTCCAAGTGTTTTCATGCTTTTGATAACGGCTTCATAATCCCCTTGGAGGTTCTGAATCTTCTGAATGTCTGCACTTGATATCAAATGGGCCGGTTGAGGGCTGGGAGGTTTTTCTGTTTTTAACTTGGAGTTGGGGCCTAAAAATCGATTTAGGGCTGTATCTTGATCAGAATCATCCTCGTCCACTTGGCCAAACGACTCGTCTGAACTGTCCTGAAAATGACAGCACACGATAGGCAAGGAGTTACGGACGAAATGAGAAGCTATAGAACAGCGCCTGAATATTTGGGGGACGGCAATCATTGACGGAAGAATTATTAATGCGGACCTCTAGAATCCTTGACGATTAGATGACCGGACCGAACTAAATGCAGGGAACAATTGAGTCTAAGAAGATATCTGCAGGGAATACCTGTCCACTTTAGGGAAGTCATATTTGTATAAACGCATCTGTATCAATGTTACGACGGACGATGATAAGACTCTGTCGTTCATCCTTTGGGAGCGATATTCGCGCGAAACTACGTCTGTGATCATTTGAATAGCTGCAGTTTTAAGATCACTTATACTCCGTAAAGGTCTTCCACCATCACCCGCTCGTAACCTGCGGCAGCACTCGTACGTCCAAAATTCACAATTCTATTATAAGCTGAGAAAAGCGCATCTCTCGCCGCATTGCTTATTTATTGTGACTGGAAGAGGTCGTGCTATCTGAGCCAAATTAGTGCCTTGCTTATTACACACAGGGTGCGTCTGAAGGATAACGCAACGCTCACTATCAATTTGCACGCCATCTTAAGTGTTGCGTCAGCTCGCGAGCGATTGAACTATCGTCCACAAATATTAGCCCACCATGAGCGCCCACAGAAGTGTTATAACTTAGCAACCACTACCTGCACTGTGCTGCGAGATGACTTTTATCCCAAGTGTTTCGGGACGGAGGAACTTTCCGCAGGGGCGAGTTTAGCATAAAAGTTCTGCTGGGAAGTGTTATCCTGCATCATCAACAAAGATGTAGTCGATGGAGTAGTCCTGCTCCCCAGGGGCCGGATCTGAGTCCCTGTGTTGTCAACTCTTTCCTGATATTGCCTATCGACTGATGACAAAATATTGGCCACCATTCATTGATGATAATGAAATTAGAGTCGGAGTTCGACTAGCTCGACCGCGGTAGGGTTGGCACATCGTTGGTCACCAGTTGGCCTTTGACTCTTGCCCTTCTCCCGCGTGGAAAAAAATGCGCGTACTGCGGTTGATTGATCCGCCGACTAGAATTCGAAACAGCGGCCACTTTCGAGCCTGATGAGAGCTTGGTCGGCCGAAGTGTCGAGCTCAAGACAAACTCGAATTGAGTTCGTCTCGAGTTCAATTGTTATCAGGGTTATCATTAGTAGCGGTAGAAGACGATGAATTACAAGCGCAAATGCGAAATGCCAATGATGAGGAGTTAACTGCGATTCCTGTGGAGAGGTTAGGCAAGCTACTGATCTCTAAGTCAGCACGAAAGCGTAAAATATAAAGGTTGCTGGCACAGTGGACTTTTACGCAGAATACCTTCGTATGACTTGGAGTCTTCGGCGTGCTTCCGGGTTTCTCCTCTGACTGTTTAAGAATTTCGTCCAATTCAGCCTCTAAATTCTCCTCGTCACCATCAGAGTCTGTGTCAACTGCAGTAAAGTCGAAGGGGAGAGGATTCTTCTTCTGGGTTTTCTGTGATTTGGCGGGTTTCTTGTGAAACATTATCGGTGAGCAACTAAATTGGATGTCTGACAAATAGCTGTGTAGTTTAACGTAGTAATAAGTCCAGGATCGCTACCCGGGTACAACAGACAAAAGGAACCAAAGGGCGACAGCACCTACAGGACAGCTTTCAGATTAACGGCTGTTATTATTGCACATACAAACAAAAACAAAATTTAGCGAGGACATTGAATAATTTGCTATTCTGTGGGGCCTTAAATTCAAAAACTTGTTTGGCTTCTGCATAAATATACAGAAATAGCACGTTCGGACTAAGAGTTATAGCGATCGGCGGAAATCCAGAAGTGAATTTTCCTTTAATTGCAAGTTGCTCGACGACGGGGTCGGAGGTAGACGTGTAATCTATATGCGGAAATGAAGGCACATGGATATGTAGCATTCTCATAGGGCCTTACGTGTGTAGGAGAACAGGCCCTGCCAGGACGTGTGTCCGTCATCATGCGGAACTTGACCAGGTAAAAAGCAACATATTTTCCTCGGCATAATATATGAATTCTTTTCCAGGGTATTTGTTGGTCTGAAATGGTTATTGGACAATAAATACCTGTTCATTTCATTAAACCGTGTGCAACAGAGGCATTTGAGTTGTTCTCGGTACATTCACTACGGGGACTCGACTTCAGTCACTCTGAAGCGCGGACAAGTGTAACCACCACGCTTTTTGAGTACGAGGCCAGAGTAAAATATATTAGGATACGCAGGACCAGTTGCAAACATATTCGTCAGAAACCAGTCCTGTTATAATTGCTTTGGATCCTGGAGGTTTCAACAAATTGATCGACTTTTGTTATAACCGCTCAAATAACACGTAGAAAGACGAACATGTGGGGTTGCTAGGAATAAATGAAATAGATTTATTGCAGCAGCTCTTGGACGCCGTCAGTCTCCTAAGAGCACTGGAATAAGACCTAAGGCAAACTCATCCATTTGGTTTGAATGCCTACCTAGTCATTAGAACACGAGTTGCTAGTGTGTTTTAAGTTTGAAAATCTGGATTCCAGGGCTTAATCATAAAAAAATTTAGGAAGAATAACAAGGCATGAAACATCGTGATTTAAGTTTGGATTTTGGTAGTTTTATAGGACAACGAATGATTCGTCATTCGTGGAACTTGGAGCGTTCTGATTTCAATCACAGGTTGAAATGAATGCCAGATGGTGAATTTGGACGTCTGTCAGTTGACGGTTCCGAGTTTTTAGACAGCCGTGGCAGCTAAAGGCGTAAGAGTAGTACACACAGGGTAACGGGAAGCACGGAAAAAACTTCTGACTAGCATCGGACTGAAAAGGGTTTTTAAACGCATGATCGTTCTCATCCAAGAAAACAACATCAAATGTCAAACAATGCGAGAAATGAGTTGGAAACGAAGGGTTTAGTAAACACGGAGCTTATAAATCATATGAGGGCAGATGAGAGTTTCAACAAGAGGGATGATGCCATCATACCAGCTAAAGAACGGGTGGGGGTTGCAGCGCTGTCAGCAAATGCGCATCAGGGTCACTGATAGTGCTCACTTGGGGTTTGAAAAACGTTACGGCAACAGCAGAAGTTCAGTCAGTCAGTCAGTGTATTTGAGGGAAATAGGCTTACGCCTTTGAACTCCCTATTTGTACATAAAAAATCGATAAACAAACAAAAATGTGAAGAAATTACAGCATTTAGTGAATGCATACATTGATTCACACATGTCACTAGTCACATGGCTAAAAAGTCACATAGTCCGATTGTTGCTGCAGCATATATCTGTCAAGGCGACATTTAAATGTCTCCACAGATTGGGACATAACATATTACCGGCCCATAAGCTTGACATGCATTTTCTGCAAAGTTATGGAAAGGATCATAAAGTGTGAACTAATGCAATTCCTGGAAGTTCACGGCCTGCTATCGAAATGCCAACATGGGTTCCGAAAAGGAAGATCCTGCACGACAAACCTGCTGCAATCTCTCCAGAGCTGGACCCAAGCTCTCGACGACAGACACGCGGTCCACATAGCCTTCATCGACTTCCAGAAGGCTTTCGACACTGTGCCACACCAAAGGCTCTTACATAAGCTGAAAAAAATAGGGATCGGTGGCAACTCCCATAAATGGATCGAAAACTTCCTTGTGGGTCGACACCAGGTTGTGTGCGTCGGTCGGGGAAAATCAGATCCGGCTATGGTCGAAAGTGGTGTCCCCCAGGGTTCGGTACTGGGACCCATTTTGTTCCTTATCTACGTGGACGATGCCGGAAGAGATTTGGACTGTGAAGTAGCAATGTTTGCGGACGACAAGAAGATATGGAGTGTAATTCGTGGTCCTGCCGATGAAGACAGACTGCAGATGAACCTGAATCGGTTGGAGGAGTGGTCCAACCGTTGGCTCCTGCGGTTCAACGTTGCCAAATGTAGCATACTTCGCCTAGGCAACACAGCCAGATCCGCCAGCACAATTCAATTCAATTCAATTATTTTATAAAAGACCCGTCGGGGTCCCATCAAAGCAAGTAAAAATAAATTTAAATGCAGATTTTAGACGATGTAGGCAAAATCTGCACAAAGTGCAATGCATAGTTTTTGAGGTTAGAAGTCCGTTAAGCAAAACGAAAATGAAAAAAAAAACGAGGGGTGAAAAAAAACTCCAAAGCAAAATTTAAAAATGATTGTAGTAATTTAACAGGAGAAAAAAAACCCTCAGAAAAATAGCATCAGAAAAAAAAGGGAGAATTGGCCTGCATGTGGCGGTACAAAATGGAATAAAGCCCGACATCAACATGGCCGAAATAGATGTCAGCTGTATATGGCATTGTGTAACGGATTTCATAAAATGGTACGTAGGCGGGTCGGTCAGGACTGGCCTGTATCGCCTTGAATAAGAAAAATAAGTGGCGAAATTGAAAAACAGTCTCGAGCTGATAGGAACCCAGAGACGGTCAGTTTCATTCAACCGAGTCCATCCGAACATGGGGTGAGATGCGACCAGACTACTAGTATATGGCGAATATAGAAGGCTTTGTCAAGACCGCCGATGGAGCGCATTCTGTAAGGGCATGATGACAACCAGTCACGAGGCGACAAGAACCCAGATGCGGTCGGTTTCATTCAACCGAGTCCATCCAAACATGGGTGGAACATGGGGGGAAGGGAGATGCGACCAGATTACTAGTATATGGCGAATATAGAAGGCTTTGTCAAGACCGCCGATGGAGCGCATTCAGTAAGGGCACGATGACAACCAGTCTCGAGGCGACAAGAACCCAGATACGGTCGGTTTCATTCAACCGAGTCCATCCGAACATGGGTGGAACATGGGGGGAAGGGAGATGCGACCAAACTACTAGTATATGGCGAATACAGAAGGTTTCGCCAAGAGCGTCGATGGCGCGCATTCTGTGAGGGCACGATGCATGAACTAAAAAATTGGAATAATTAACATTTCTGGTGAGGGATCTTAGGTAGCGAGACTACTCATAAAGAAAGGAAACGTGAACAGATACGGAAATTTAATAGCGGCATGCTAAATTCCCGGTGGCCCTTTCTCAGTGTCATAGAAAAAGTTGTCTGGGAAGGATGAGGAAAATAAAAGTTTAATCGAGTCAGTATTCAGATAAATGCGTAGCCTTCTCTTAAAGGTGTGTAGATTTTCTGAAGATCTTATATTTATTGGAAGGTTATTCCAGAGGAAAGTGTACCTGGAAGCGAAAAAAGGGAGCGCTTAGAGGTGGAGGACGCTGGAAGAGGTATAATTAGAGACGAGTTGCGAAGATTGTATGGGCGACTACTAGGGGTAAGTGTTGAAATCCGAGGAAAATTTGAACTATGATTAATGCGAAAGAGGAGACAGAGGCCCGCTTCTAGTCTTCGAACCCATAAAAATTTTAGGTTAGTTAGTTGGCACCTATCTGAGTAGGAGATATTGGGATGTTCCCTATCCAAAAGTTTTTTTGAAAAACGTCTTTGGACATTTTCAATTTTTAAACGACTGGCTTCATTCATCAAACCAAAGAATGGGCAACAATACTCGAGAATGGGAAGTACAAACATACGATAGAGCCTTAATTTAATTTCAGGAAGATAGAAATTGTAAGAAATACAGCCACAAATCTGGGCAGCTTTGGTTGTAATTCTGTCAGCGTGCGGCGAGAGATCAAGATTACTAGTGTAGCTTAAACCTAAATCCTTGATGGTGGTACATTCAGTCATAGGTGTTGCTTGAAAGACCACAGGTTGGGGTAGCCTATCAGGTGCAGCCCTACAAGAGGTCGAAGCCCAAAAGGACCTCGGTGTGCTTACGACGAGTTCCCTAAAACCATCCGCCCACTGTTCGAGGGTGGCAAAAACCGCAATGTCCGTACTGTACGCCATCAAGCGTGCGTTTATGGACTTTGACGAAGAAGCCTTCTCTAAGACATTCGGAACATTCGTCCGGCCGCATTTAGAGTACGGCATACAAGCTTGGAGGCCGTGGGGTGTTGTGGATCAAAACTGCCTCGAAAGAGTCCAGAGGAGAGCCACGAAGATGGTCAGGGTTCAAAGCTCCTTTCCTTATGCGACCCGCCTAGTAAATCTGAACCTCTTTTCTTTGAGTTACAGGCAACTTCGCGGAGATCTCTTGCAAGCCTTCCGCATTGTAAAGGGGTTGGATTGCAGTCTGGCCTTCGAGGACTTTTTTGAATTTGCTACCACGACCAACCTCCGAGGTCACCCGTTAAAACTGCGCACACAGCAGGCACGGCTGGATGTGCGGAAGTTCTCCTTCTCGGTTCGGGTGGTCAAACAGTGGAATGAGCTTCCCGCAGATGTTGTGATGTCACCATCTATACAAAGTTTTAAGAAGAATCTGGACATATTTATGTTCCGAAATGACCGAGAGCGATGAGAAGTCGAGCTCACCCCCTGTAACTCCTTCTCATTTTGTCCCACCATTATGGGCGTGTTCGAACTATTTCAGCCCAGAACATCTATCTGTACACCACACATTTTTTACGTTGCAAATTGGGTACTCAATGGCTTACGCCTATTTCCCTCAATAAACTGAACTGAACTGAACTGAACTGAACCGTCTCGGGCAGGTTACTCCACGGTTCTAAGACACGGTTGGAGAAAAAATATTTTCTCACATTCAGTCTACCCTGTGGCACACGTAGCTTGAAGGGATGTCCCCGGAGGTGAGTTGTAGTGGCGAGTTGGAAAAAGTCATCGCGCCGAAGGGCACAATCCAAGCCGCGCACGATACGGAAAGTTTGTATCATGTCTCCGCGCAGCAGCCTATAACTCAGAGGATAGAAATTAAGGTTAGTTAAGCGGATCTAGTATGGCAGTGCGCTTTGACCTCATATTAATTTTGTTGCTCGTCTCTGCACCCTTTCGAGCAGATCGTAATCCTGATGCATCCACGGTCTCCAGGCCTGAATTGCACATTCGAGATGGGGCCTTATAAACGTGCCGAAGACTTTGGTGAAGCAGTCTTCATCGAAAACTACGAATGCCCGCTTGATGGCATATAGCATTGAGGTTGCGGCCTTGGCCGCCTTACAGCATTGTGTACAAGGCCTTAGGCTATCTGCAACCCAAACTCCGAGATATTTCTGAGTTTCTGCTTCTCGGTGTGGCATTCCGTTCAGATGGTATTGCCGCGTACTAGGGCTCTGATTTCCGAGGCGCAGTATGGTACACTTGTTCAAATTGAAGGACAAGAGCCATCTGCGGGACAACTCGTCCAATCGACAAAGATTTTCTTGGAAGTTGGTCTCATCGGCGGCATTCTGGATGACTTTCCAGATTTTTATGTCGTCCGCAAACATGTCGCAATCGCAGTCCAACCCATCTACACAATCATTGATGAACAAGAGAAAGAGAGTTTGTCCGAGCACCGAACCTTGTGGGACCCCACTCTCTATGAATGTGCACCTTGATTGCTGTTGTTCTACGCAGACAATTTGGGAGCGGCCGACAAGGAAATTTTCGATCCGTTTGAGAAGTTTGCACCGATGCCCATAATTCTCAACTTGTGTAGGAGACGCTGGTGCGGAACACTGTCAAACGCCTTCCGGAAATCAATATAGGCAACATGCGCGGTGTGTTTTGCGTCCAGTGGTCGTGTCCAACTTTGCATTGTGTATAGCAAGTTCGTAACACATGATCTTCCCCCACGGAAACCATATTGTGGATCGGACAAGAGGTTGTGGGTTTCCAAGTTAGTCATCAACTCCTTCTTGATGGTTGTGGGAAGGGAGCTGACAGCGATGTGAAAACATGACTACGGTTATTTTCATCGACACGCGGTTGCACCACTTCCATCCTGGGTCCACGCTAATGGCGTTCACCTGATAAAAAGAACTTTATCAAATCCCTGGTCTAATCCACAGTTGCTTGAACTTAATCGCATCGCGGGTTTGTTTCTGCCGGATGGCCAATCACATTTGCCCGAACGGGCAGCTGAAGAGGATGAGTACAGATCGAGAGCATACCATTTTTTACGGTAAGTCACAATCAATGATATCAAAATAGTAACATATTAGGTATCATACTCTCTCTGATTATAAGATAATGTAGGTAGATTGGCCGATCGATTTGTATACTCCTATTTAGTCTGGCATAGCCTTTAAGCCGTCTCATATGGTCTTACGACAATTAATGTGTATTTTTAGAAGGTTTTTAGTGTCTGCTGAGTTAGTTTATGAGAATGTGAAGAAGAGAGAAGAAAGCATATCTGTATTTACGGCATACTTATGCATTACGCCGTCCATCACATATTTACTTGTTTTTTTTTCAAGGTCATATTCTAGCATCACTCTAGTGACCGGGATCACTAGAGTCCTTTCAAACCAAATGTTGTACCGAAGAACTGACTTAGGATGAGTTTGTTCATATTTAACAATAAATGTCTATTACAGTTTAAGGGAAATTAATCGATTTTTATTTTAAATATTATTAGGCTTTGACCTTTTAGAAAAGGAGTTGGAAGGGCATTCCACATAGTCACATATCTTATGGGATGTATTTTTGATCGTCGACCCTTTGTGGACTTAGGATTCTTGTAATGCCCTCGTTATTTCTAATGATTTTATGAATGCTATGGTTTGTTAGTATATGCATTTTGAGAATATCTTGGCACGCGTGATTTCGAACAGGAAATTAAAGAAACTTGACAGTCTTCTTATCCACAGGGGTCGAAAACCGTATTTGCTGTACTGTCCCAAATAAGAAACTGGAATGTCATCAAATATAAACAAAGATTTGGCTTAGCATCTCTAAGTACCTCCTAGGTTCTTTCGACTGTCTAAGGGCATTATGTAAAAGAAAATTGTGCAGTAATCTAGGAGCGGTTGAGGGTAGATTTTATAAAGTCGTCTTTAGTGCATTTAACGTGGAATTTTCATATATGAAACCGCACAGGTGAGTGGCTTCGGTGACAATTGTTTAACATGGGGAGAGGGGAGTGGGGAGGTCGAAAGTATGTGTATAACTCAGGCCCAAGTCATGTGTTGGTTGGGCTTCCATTATTTCATTACCCTCGAAAATTTTGAGGGAAGTATTTGTGGACCAAATGTCAGCAGATGGCATTTGCCATTGACTGCTATATTCGCTACGTTTATAAGATCGATTTCAATTGTTCTGTACATACTGGCTACTGAGTGCTCAGTATATTCATATGCGAGTTTAAGGTCGCCGTCATATAAAAATGACGTAGGCGGGATTGATATGGGCGATAAGTCGTTGTTAAATTTGAGAAATAAAATGGAACCTAAGATAGTGTCCCAAAGTACGCACTGATTATATGAGACAGTTCCATGACCATGTATTGCTTTTATACTACCTGATATTAATTTTTAAGTTTGCATTTGAAAAGATCGAGGAGAGTGTGTCGAATTTCATGACTCACTAGCTTTATTATTAATTTTTTATGGGGAACTTTGTCAAATGTATTGTTAAGATGGAAGTATGCTGCAGCTACCGTGTTACCGTCATCTCTGTTGCTAAATAAGAATTCTAAAAAAAGTGAGATGGCAGGACTGACACGACTTTTTAGGTAAAAAGGCATGCTGAGAGTGTTTTTTTAAGTGGTTTAGCATTTGTTTGTAAACGAGTTTTTCGAGGATATTTGCTATTACCGCTGTTCGGTGAACACCACGATAGCTTTGGGTATCAGGTCGGTTTTCATGTTTAAGGAGTGGTGCAGTGATCGCATATTTTGAAATGTCAAGAGAAGTTGCATTTGATTGGACTAAGACGGATAGCATAGAGGGGGTATTGGAACGTTCATTATATGCTTCAGTATACATTTTAGGATTCCATCTGTTCCATAAACTAAATAAATAAATAGATTATTTTATTGAGTACCCGGAGGATAATTCGCAGCAAGTAAAAATAAATTTTTAAGTCAATTTTAGAACAAGTAGGCGGATCCTTCACAGAACTTAGTTCGCGGTCCTAGAATATGCAGTCAGTTAATAAAAACGAACTGTGAGCAATGAGAAAACTCCTAGTGAAAACGAAAAAATGAATATGATACAGACCTGGTCTGAAATACTGGTCTGGAATACTGTTCGTTTTCATTTAGCCTCATGCGTGCTACTGAGCGGAAGAAAATAGAATCCGTTCAACACTTTTTTACTAAGAGAATTTTAACCCCGGAACACCGACATTTGTCTTACCAAGAACGTTGCCGGCTTACAGGCCTCGATCCTTTATGGTTCCGTAGATTACAAAAGGGACTATTTTTGCTATTTAAACTCTTATATAATGACACATTTAACCCGCTCTCCTCCTTAAGACATCATATCCACCCACGACGTAACAGTCACCATGAGGTCTTCTTATTTCTGCCTCTGGCACGTACTGTTAAATATCGTCGGTTCTTTTCTGTAAATGCAATTGCCATTTGGAATAAACTACCCATGAGTGTGAAAACTCTGCAAAATTTTCCTTTATTTAAGAGAACTATTACTCGATTTTTGCATTCAGAAAAGCTCCCACAAATTTTGGGTGCTGAATCTACTGATCGACTGTACCGTAGCGATGGCGTTTGTGGTCTCTGAACACTATGGCCGGTCTCACCAGCTGTTCCTCAACGCCTCTACTTTGACTATCCCCAACTTCATGAAAGGAATTTGACGTCCGATAATCTCCGATACCGTGCAACCTCCCCCCTTCTTGACGGTCGATATTCTACCACCGCAGACAGTTTTTTCTCCTGAGCCCTCCAAACCACAAAAACCACCATCAACTATATTTTTATGCCTTAAGCTCAGGAGTTTTTTTCACTTCTGGTCGGATTTGTGTTTAATCGCTTCCCTTGACAATGCCTGTAAACTGGCATTAAATTAAAAAATTTAATTAAGACGTCCTTAATCAAAAATTCAACAATTCACACCCCTCGCTAACGTTCTCTGCAGAGGTTGAGGCAAACAATTAAATCGCGTTCCTCGACGTTCTTCTGCACAGACAAGAGGATGGGTCTATCCAACATAGGGTATTCCGAAAGAAAACCTGGACGGGACAATACATTAATTTTCACAGTTTTATTCCCCTTAATATTTAACGCACTTGGGTCCAGGGATTGGCAGCCAGAGTGCGACGTATGCGCTTTCCTGAGACTGTGGAGGCATAAATCCAGCAGCTGCGGGATACACTCCACGAAAACGGATACCCAGAAAGATTTATCCTTCGAAATATAGGGGAGCGCACTGCAAAGCCTACCATGGCAACTGCAGAAAACAAGGACTTATTCATAAGGCTGCCTTTTCAAGGGGACGCAGCAAGTGAACTAGTAAGAAGACGTCTGAGGGCAGCGATCACTAGCGCTTTCCCCGCGGCGAACTTACGTGTGTGTTTCACTAACTTCCCCCTCCTACGCTTGGGAGGTAAAGACCGACTCCCGTTGCAGGCCACATCGATATGTATTTATTCATTCACTTGCTCCTGTGGAGCGGGATACATTGGCCGTACAAAGAGGCGCTTGGAAAAGAGAGTACGTGAACACATACCGGCCTGACTAGGCAAAGGTGAGAAGAAATCGATACCGAGTTCTATTCTCGCACATCTTGTCGATACGAATCACCGAGAGGATGCCAAAGAAGCCTTTCAGGTTGTGTACCGGACACCAGCAAGCTTCTCCAGAGGCCTACGCCAACGGGTGCTAGCTACGGCCGAGGCAGTGGCTATACGACTAGGCAATCCAGTGCTATGCTGTCAGAAGACTCCGACACAGGCGCTCTGTCTTCCGTGGCCGACGCCGACCCCAACGTCGCACTAGCCTCCTGATGCCAGGGTGTGTTTACAAGGTACCCGACGTACTCACAGCCTATGGTCCCCCTCTCCCTCGCCCCCTTAACCCAATGACCACGACACGCCGACCACGCCATAGCACGCCTCGTCATGCGAGTGGCGTGAGGACGATGGATGTTAATTGTCCCCGAATCATTTATAAGTCATGTAATTCGCATAACTTAAACTTCTTTGTAACCATTGTGGCCTGATGAAGAGTTACTGAAAACACATGTTCGCCAATTTGACTGTTGGAATATGAAATCGTCAACTTTTAAGAAGAAGAAGAAGAAGAAGAAGAAGAAGAAGATGATGATGATGATGATGATGATGATGATGATGATGATGATGATGATTATGAAGAAGAAGAAGAAGAAGAAGAAGAAGAAAAACTGCCGCTCATGGAGGAGTAAATATGCGGGTGGGACAGGTCTGGCCTTCACATGGTGTTGCATGAGGGATTCAAAACGGCTATCGTCAGGACATAATTCCTAAACTGGATGAGTTTATCCGTCTCGAAGTGGCATGGTGGGAGAACCTAGACGCGATCGAACACAGCCCGCTTAGTGCCCAGCGAAGTAGGGGAAATTAAAGGCTAGGGCTGTCATAAATGCGCAGAAAGCAGAATGCGACCCTGATACCTCCTTACAGACCTACCGAACTATTAGCAAATGGCAAAAACAGAGGATTCCGCCGTGTTCGTCAACAGATCACTTGGGTTCGAAATGAGCAATTGGCATCAAGAATCGTGAAAATCATGGATTGGGTGAGAGTTCGGAATCGCAGGGGTCAGAATGAAATTCTGATGGGTGAATGTGATTAGTGAAAGTGGGGCGGCTTAGAGCGTGCACATCAACCCAGTCATGCTATTTCTTTGAGAGGATTTGTCAGGAAGGATATCGCTTTATGTGAGGGACTCTATGCATGAACTGAAAAATCGAAAAACTAAAACTTCTAATGAGACATCCGAGGAGGCGAAGCCACAAACAGAGGATGAATTGTGAACGGATACGGAAATTGAGTGGTGGCGTCATAAATGCCCGATGGCCCTTTCTCAGTGTCATGAAGAATGTTGTCCGGGAAGGATAAGGAAAATAAAAGTTTAATCGAGCCATTATTCAGAAAAAGGCATAGCCCTCTCTGAAAACTATGCAGATTGTCTGATGTTCTTATATGTATTGGAAGGTTGGAAAGTTGCCAGATAGATTTCTTGACAGCTTCTTTACTAAAAGAGATCTCACGGAGGTACATGTTGTCGTTTTGATTGGTTGAAAGGTTGGCCATTCTTCGACTGCATAACTGGTTGATAAATATTTGATACATAGTTTTTTTGTTTGGTTGCCGTTTGCTACCACTTTTTTGAGCCACTGATCATTCTTAGGGATCCTAATTTTCGATGATTATTTATCTGCTTCTGAAAGATTTGGGCCGCTCGTTCAGGGGATTCCAGGGCCTGGTGATCTGCTGCTATGGACTTTTTATCTCCATTTAAGCAACCAGATCGTGAATTCCTGTAATTCGACAGAGTTTGGATAAGTAGCTTAGAGATGGACGGCATAGTTGTCATTTAATATTTTGTATTTCTCAGAATGGAATTTTGGAATGCGTCGTCTCCTTTACGCGGGGTCTTCCATTGATTAATACATCTCGAATTTTGAACAGGGTAGAGTATAATGAGTTGATTGCCTCTATTGGGGTGCTGACAGAATGTATAGCTCCAGGTTAATGCCCTGACTTGCTTGCTCATGGAGTTCTTGTCGAGTTCTCTTCGAATTTATGCGAATGTTACGAAAACCATGTGGTACTCTCTTGTTTAGAGGGAGCACTGATAGGATTGAACCGTGATCATTTTCAAAGGTTAAGCCCATAATCCTGCAGACGGATCAGGTGCCAATGATGAGAATAATGTCTATTATGATGTTTCCTCGGGCGGTTTTTTCGACCATTCCTGTCCAGTTGTTAAAGATCCCTTAAGGTCAAGGTCAAGCCGCTTGTTTTAAATTGAAGATAAGCGGAAGATATTTGTTTAGGTGGATTTTCTAAGAGATCTAAAGATATCAACCTCCGTTTTTTGTTAATTTTTTTAAATACAGGCCTATTCACTCAGAACTTCCAGTTGCTATTCCCTTTTTGAGTTCTGCTAGTCTGTGGCTGTTGACCGCCAGGCGCACTCTGCAGTTCGCACTTTGTGCATTCGACTTCTCCAACTGTGGAATATTTTACATCGTTAGCCTCTTGCTGAAATTCAGGCCCCTGGTCTGTCAGAAGTTTTCTTTTTTGCAACTTGCCTCGAGAAAATATGAGGACAAAAGTCACCGGTCGGCGAAAGATCTCGGTCTCTGTACCTAAGCATGCCCTAACTAAATCTAAGTCAATAGGCATTACTAGTCAGTCGTCAAACTTGGTATCTGCCATCAATCCTTGGATAATTATTCGACGGGAACATCCCGGATATTCCCTCTTAAAAATGCAAACATCTTGACTCAATTGTTCACCTGATCGTCAGGGTGTCTGGTGATAGACAAAAAGGAGCTTACAAATTCATGTTGAAAAATGTTTTTCGATCTGTCCAGCCAGCTAATGTTGCGACTGACTGCCTTTATTCGTGTACTTTCAACTGAAAAATAGCCTATGTAAAACACCTGTCTAAGTTCAGTTGTTTTCACCAATTGAGGTCGACTCGATCTTTGCCCTCCGAGATGGTGACTCTGCGTACCTGGAAAATGCAAAATCCTTTCATTTGTCATGAACTTACCCCCATGGAGCGTAGAATCGGCTCACTCTTCTCACGTAATTTAAATCTTTCAGTCAAATGCTCGCCAACTCGGTCATAATACATAGGGCTGTGAGGATTCAGTTAATCCAACTCCTACGACATCTGACTCCCTCCTTCCACTTACTCCTACATCTCGCTCTCATTCGGGACACCTGACGAATTCGCCCGTCCCTAAGTTAGCAACAGCAGTAGCGACATCAGCCCCAGTTGTCTTTCCTAATCCTCCAGATAAGCCCCTAGGACGCACGAAAATCCGTCTACATCAGCCAGACTGATAACTTCCCCATTTCAACAGTGTCCTAGAAGCTCTACAGTTGAGTCAACTGTGGAATGGCGTCAGAACCGTGAGACTCCAAAACTGAATCGGAATCCGGCCCAAAAGAGAGGTAGCACAATCACATTTAGGGGTATGCCGCATTCTCTTAGATCTACCAAGCCTTTACGGCCCAGCTAGTCTATAAACCACACAGCTCCGATTTTACCACCAAATAATTCTGTCCTGCGTATCGGCCACGTACCAAAGTCCTACTACATATCCCAGCAAGTAGTTAATACTTGAATTGCCCTTAGTCACTTACCTTTAAAACTAGTTCAGGCTTCCCCATACTTAAAGCGAACTGTTCTCTCGTAAGTCAACCTAACTACTTTGACTTCCGACGAATAACTGGCTTCCCACTCTTTTATTCTTTTAGCTGCCTCCCCCCATCACCCTCCACATTCCTTTTAGACTCCCTTCTCCTCCTCCTCCTCCTCCTCCTCCTCCTCTTCTTCCTGCTCCTCCTCCACCACGATTTAACTTCCAACCAGCCTTCCCCTGTTATAACTCCCTTAGCGTACCGAGGGTGGGAAATTGTCTCAGAATTAAAATCGAGAATGAGAGGTGGCCAGCACAACCTCGGAAAAGAAGTTGAGAAAAATATGCTGTTTCACTGGAACCAGACAGTAGTACTGAGAACGACGGCGGCTGCTCAGCTAACACAGTCTATCCAGCGGCTCAAGACGAAAACACAAGTAAGCTTCTGATGGTCCGTGTTATGACCGAATCAAAGGACACAAGTAAAACCCATCAAACAACGGAAGATCTTGGCGAAAATTACGTCCGAGATGATACAGTAATGCTTGTATCGAAACTCGGAGAGCTCAAACTTTGCTTTAGCGAACTCTCTCTGGATGTTTTAGCAGTAACCGAAACCTGGCTGTCCGGAAATATTGGCGATAGCGAAATAGCCTTGACTGAGTGCAAAATTTATCGGAGGGCCAGGGAACATCGTCAGGTCGGTGACATAGTTGCGCATATGACAGTGTCGGAAAACACTACCAAGCTTGTGTGCGGCACGGAAGCTATTTGGTCGACCATCAAGGCTACCGGTTGTCCGTGTCTCGATGTCCTCACGGTCTACCGACCACCTAGGACAGACCAAATCGCCGACCCTCAACTATTGGAGCACTTGGAAAATTTTTTCTGTCGACCTAACATCCTGATCATGGGCGACTTCAACGCACCAGGAATTAATTGGAATACCCTCCAGGCTTCAGGTCCAAAATCGACATTCGATTTTCGTTTGCTGAACAAAACATTAAGGGCGTCCCTCACACAACATGCAATGTTTCCAACAAGGACAAGTGAGGGACAAAGGGCATAGTGCTGGATCTGGTCTCTACGAAAACACCAGACAACGTAGACGAGGTCATCTCCATGCCGCCCCTTGGCCGAAATCAGTTGCTCAGATCTTCCGTCAGAGATCATCTGCTAAGTCCCACCAAGTCATTCCGCCCTTGCTTAGTGCTAGTGATGCCTTCATTACAGAGGAGTCAGGCAAAGCAGAAATTTTAAATTCGTTCTTTGCCAAGCATTTCACCATTGAAACTGATCCGATCCCTTTAATTCCTTCGTTGTCCGATGCTTCTCTTAGCTTCATTAATTTTTCTCCTGAATGTATTCAAAAACTGATAAGTCATCTTCCTTACTCTCACTCAGTAGGTACGTGCAATATCCCAAACTCTTTGATAAAACAGCAAAGAGATTTTCCTCCTCTGCTTAGCAAAATCTTTTCAGTATTTCTCGTAAATGGCTTCTTCCCTGACTATTGGAAAACTTCTATTATTATTCCAGTATTTAAGTCTGGCTGTCGTTCTGACGTACAGAACTATCGAAGTGTCCATAAAACACCCTCTCTCGCCAAAATCTTTGAAAAAATTATCGCCATAAAAATTACCGAATTTTGCATAGCCAATCAAGTTATTAGCCCTTCCCAGCATGGTTTTTTACCAGATCGCTCTTGTGAAACATGTCATCTGTCGTTTCTCGATCTACTTACCTCTCTTCGTAATGATCACCTATCTGTTGTCGTAATTTATTTTGATCTTAGTAAAGCCTTTGATAAAGTGCCACATAAAAGACTCTTGATTAAATTGGAAGCTATGGGAATTCGCAGTCCACTAATAGACTTTCTCAGGTCATACCTGTCTAATCGTAAACAAAAGGTTTTGGTGGGATCTTCATTTTCCAGTGAAAGTCCTATTGTGAGCGGTGTCCTACAAGGTACCGTTTTAGGTCCTCTTTTGTTCTTACTTTACATAAATGATATCTCAGCCGCAGTTAGACATTCTCAATCACTTATTTATGCCGATGATCTCAAATGTGTATATTCTTTCCATAAATCTACGAGCCTTCATTGCCTGGAGCAAATCCATGCTGACTTGCTTGCTCTCTCAGCTTGGAGCTCAAAATGGCTAATGGAATTCTCTCCGTCTAAATGTCGTTATATGTGTTTTGGACCTGATAGGCTACCCCAACCTGTGGTCTTTCAAGGAACACCTATGATTGCATGTACCACCATCAAGGATTTAGGTTTAAGCTACACTAGTAATCTTGATCTCTCGCCGCACGCTGACAGAATTACAGCCAAAGCTGCCCAGATTTGTGGCTGTATTTCTTACAATTTCTATCTTCCTGAAATTAAATTAAGGCTCTATCGTATGTTTGTACTTCCCATTCTCGAGTATTGTTGCCCATTCTTTGGTTTGATGAATGAAGCCAGTCGTTTAAAAATTGAAAATGTCCAAAGACGTTTTTCAAAAAAACTTTTGGATAGGGAACATCCCAATATCTCCTACTCAGATAGGTGCCAACTAACTAACCTAAAATTTTTATGGGTTCGAAGACTAGAAGCGGGCCTCTGTCTCCTCTTTCGCATTAATCATAGTTCAAATTTTCCTCGGATTTCAACACTTACCCCTAGTAGTCGCCCATACAATCTTCGCAACTCGTCTCTAATTATACCTCTTCCAGCGTCCTCCACCTCTAAGCGCTCCCTTTTTTCGCTTCCAGGTACACTTTCCTCTGGAATAACCTTCCAATAAATATAAGATCTTCAGAAAATCTACACACCTTTAAGAGAAGGCTACGCATTTATCTGAATACTGACTCGATTAAACTTTTATTTTCCTCATCCTTCCCAGACAACTTTTTCTATGACACTGAGAAAGGGCCACCGGGAATTTAGCATGCCGCTATTAAATTTCCGTATCTGTTCACGTTTCCTTTCTTTATGAGTAGTCTCGCTACCTAAGATCCCTCACCAGAAATGTTAATTATTCCAATTTTTTAGTTCATGCATCGTGCCCTCACAGAATGCGCGCCATCGACGCTCTTGGCGAAACCTTCTGTATTCGCCATATACTAGTAGTTTGGTCGCATCTCCCTTCCCCCCATGTTCCACCCATGTTCGGATGGACTCGGTTGAATGTAACCGACCGCATCTGGGTTCCTATCGCCTCGGGACTGATCTTCATGATGCCCTGACTGAATGCGCTCCATCGATGCTCTTGGCGAAGCCTTCTATATTAGCCATATACTAGTAATCTGGTCGCATCTCCTTTGCCCTATCCTCGGATGGACTCTGATGAATGTAACAGACCGCATCTGGGTTCTTGTCGCCTCGTGACTGGTTGTCATCATGCCCTTACAGAATGCGCTCCATCGGCGGTCTTGACAAAGCCTTCTATATTCGCCATATACTAGTAGTCTGGTCGCATCTCACCCCATGTTCGGATGGACTCGGTTGAATGAAACCGACCGCATCTGGGATCCTATCGCCTCGGGACTGATCTTCATGATGCCCTGACTGAATGCGCTCCATCGATGCTCTTGGCGAAGCCTTCTATATTAGCCATATACTAGTAATCTGGTCGCATCTCCTTTGCCCTATCCTCGGATGGACTCTGATGAATGTAACAGACCGCATCTGCGTTCTTGTCGCCTCGAGACTGGTTGTCATCGTGCCCTTACAGAATGTGGCCCATCGGCGGTCTTGGCAAAGCCTTCTATATTCGCCATATACTAGTAGTCTGGACGCATCTCCCCCCATGCTCGGATGGACTCGGTTGAATGAAACTGACCGCATCTGGGTTCCTATCGGCTTGAGACTGGTTTTCAATTTCGGCACTTATTTTTCTTATTCAAGGCGATACAGGCCAGTCCTGACCGACCCGCCTACGTACCATTTTATGAAATCCGTTAGACAATGCCATATACAGCTGACATTTATTTCGGCCATGTTGATGTCGAACTATATTCCATTTTGTACCGCCACATGCAGGCCAGTCCTCCCTGTTTTTTTCTGATGCTATTTTTCTGAGGGTTTTTTTTTCTCCTGTTAAATTACTACCATCATTTTTAAATTTTGCTTTGGAGTTTTTTTTTCACCCCTCATTTTTTTTCATTTTCATTTTGCTTAACGGACTTCTAACCTCAAAAACTATGCATTGCACTTTGTGCAGATTTTGCCTACATCGTCTAAAATTTTCATGTAAATTTATTTTTACTTGCTGTGATGGGACTCTGACGGGTCTTTGATAAAAATAATTGAATTGAATTGAATAGTGCTTATGTGGGATTATTCGTTATTCTCTATTTTGCACACTCCAGAACAAAAGAGGCGCAATGTTTGGCGGGGTGACTTCAATGACATGAGGGCAGACCTCTCTGGTCTCGACTGGGGCTCACTGTTTAGGGGGAATGCCAACTATGACTGGGAGTTGTTCAAGAATGTCCTTCTGCAGCTCATCACCAACCTCTGTCCACTGACTAGTGTAAGTCGGGACAAACGCCCTGGGTGGCCAAATAGCAACTCAATGAAAGAAGTCAACTTGAAGCACAAATTGTTGAGAAAATACTGTGCCACTGGGCAAGTTGAATATTTCAACACCTACAAGACACAGAGCAACAAACTGAGAAAAATGCTTATAAAAACGCGACGGGAATTTGAGGAGAAATTGCCACAAAAATCAACGCAGGACCCAAAATTACTCTACAGCTACCCCCGAAGAAATACAATTAACAGGCATCAAACCCCTTAATAAGGACTACTGATGGCGTTGAGATTGCTGACAGTAGGGATAAACTGCGTATTTTCACAGTTTTTTCAATCAGTTTACACAAACGAGACAAGGTTCCTTCCTCCCTCTGCAGAAGAACTGCAGACCCCAAGTGTCAGTGATATACTCTTCTCAGAAGGCATTGTCCGAAGAGAATTAGAGGCATTGAACGAATCGAAATCGCCAGGACTAGACGAGATTCCACCCAAGCTTCTCAGGGGACTTACAAGTGAGCTTTCTGTGCCTTTGTCGGTGCTCTTACAAACGTGATTTGACACTGGAACACTTCCTACCGATTGGAAGCTGGCGCATATTACTCCGATATGCAATGAAGGTAGCAGGGCATCGACAACTAATTACAGGCCCATAAGCTTGACACGCACTCCCCGCGAAATTATGGAAAGGATCATAAAGAGTGAATTGATGCATCTCCTGAAATTTCACGGCCAACATAGGGTCCGGAAAGGATGACCCTGCACGATACACTTTCTGCAATCCCTCCCGAGCTGGACCAGAGCTCTCGACGACAGGTACGCGGTCTACAGAGCTTTCATTGACTTTCAGAAGGCGTTCGACGCTGTGCCACATCGGAGAACGTTACACAAACTGAAAAAATTGGGATGAACGGCAACTTTCAGAGATGGATTGAAAACTTCCTTGTGGGTCGATACCAGGCTGTGTGAATCGGTCAAGGGAAATCAGATCCTGCTGTGATCGAGATTGGTGTTCCCAGGGTTCATTACTGGGACCTATTTTTTCCTCATAAACGTGGACGATTGTGAAAGAGCTGTTAACTGCTAAGCAGCAAGGTCCGCCGATGACGTGAAGATATGGAGTGTAATTCGGTTTCCTGCCGACGAAGACAAACTGCAGAGGGAGAGTGGTTGGGAGAGTGGTCAGACAGATGGCTCCTGCGGTCAAACGTTGGTAAAGGCAGCTTACTTCGCCTAATCGACACAGGCAGACTCGCCAGCACAAGGGACTATTTTCTGGGCGGTGCAGCCTTACAAAATATCCAAACCCAAGAGGACGCATTTTATTTTAAAGTTCTGGGGTACCAATTATGTTAACTAGCTGAACGGAAACTTGAGAAAGTCTCGAGGTTTATGTTGCACAGAAACCCATTTTGCATTACTTTTCTGTTTTCCATGCAAAGTAAATATGAAGCGTACCTACTTGGATTCAACCGGAGCACTTTCTACAAGCGTAATAAGCGGGACGTGCCGCATACTATGTCGCTGTTGATGGACTTGAGTGTTCTGTCCCATCAACATCATACGCGGTAGCAGATGATTCGCTTAAATGACAAATGCCTATTTTGTGTCCAGAAGTTCCTACGGGTAGGTTCTTTACGTGTGTAACTAAACAATGGGTATAGGGGCAGCTGACGAGGCGGTGAGCACAAACTCAGCAGGAGGCAATTTCTTCCGGCGGATTTGCAGGAATTCTGCCTTGACGAGCAATTGTCACTGTCGGTAGCTAAGAAGCTGTTTAATATACTGCGACCCTATCATCCAGACGTACCCAAGGACCCGCAGACGCATTTACGAACTCCCCGATCATGCATTAGCAAGCTCCTGAAGAACAGGTGCTATGTACATTTGGGCCTTGGACAAGATCTGCTGAACGAGCTGCGCCGTCGGCAGTCGACCAGAATACCGGAACTTTGCGCTTAATTGCACATTGACGGAATTAATATTTTTAAGGGTTTCAGTCAAAGCCTGTGGCCTATACTTAGTCGTATCAGCCGTCCGGTTATTGGTCAACCTTTCGTTGTCGTCATGTTCTCCGGTTCTGGCAAACCCAACGCCTTGGAGGATTTCTTGGCGGACTGCATGTCTGAATTGAAGGACCTCCTAAGTAGTGGTCTGCGTCTTCCGCAGATGGATAATCTTATCAGGGTGTTCCTCGAGAATGACATCTGCGACACGCTTGCCCGGTCCTATGTCATGCAGGTGAAAGCCCATAATGTCTACTACGGATACAACAGGTATGTTATTTCTTAAAAGTAACGGCAACTTCTTTAGGTGTTGTCATGAGGGCATGCCCCTAGCAAACCGCGTAACATTTCCAACGTATAGTGGGCACTTGCGGGACGACAGATCATTTAGATTGCGAAGTCAGGCGCCGCACCACAAGGGCATATCATTGTTCGAAGATTTGTCTATTGATATGGTTGCCTCGTTTCCAATAGATTACATGCACATTGTCTGTCTGGGTGTCATGCGTAAGTTGATACATTTATGGCGACTGTGAACCAACAGGTCATCCACCCAACTGAGCGTCACCGTCAAAACATGAAGTCAATGTTTGCCTGCTGAATTTTCATGCAAATGCCGACATTTTGACTGTCTTAAATACTGGAAGGCCGTTGAATATCGGCAATTTTTATTGTATATAGGTCAAATTGTTTTGTCTCCTTTTCTCGATGAATCAGGTTACAATAATGTTTTGCTCCTGTCCGTTGCCACTTATAAATTTTGTCACTCGACCTTGCATATATCTCACGTAGATTTTGTCCGCCTTTTGGTGAATAATTTTGTTTCTGCTTTTCCAGTTTTATATAACGATGCAAATGTTGTTTACAATGTCCATGCTCTTCTTCACATACCCGATGATGTCAGTCGGCTTGGAATTTTAGACCGGTTTTCTGCATGTGGAAATACTCGATCATTGCACCTAACTTTAAATCGGCAACCGATCTCATATCCAAGTCTATCGTGGTGTTCACCGAACACCAGCAATAGTTAAAATCCTCAAGAAAATAATTTATAACCAATAACTAGACCATCTCATAAGCGCCAACCGCATGCACCCCTCTCAACATGCATTTTTACCTAGAAAGTCATGTCAGTCCCGCCATCTCGCTTTTCTGGAATTCGTTTCTAGCTATAGAGATGATGGAAACACAGTAGCTTCAACATACTTCGATCTAAAAAAGGCCTTTGACAAAGTCCCTCTTAAAAGACTACTGATAAAGCGAAAAAGTCAAGGAATTCGGCCTCCCCTTCTTGATTTTCCCAAATCCTCTCTTCAAAACCGATATCAAGTGGTGTAAATTTGAAGCGTAGTCTCGGAACCATCCCCCATTGCCAGAGAGGTACTTCAGGGCACTATCCTACGTAGGTCCCCTTCTCTTTATCATATACAGTATCATATCAGTATCAGCTAAAACGTTTTTATATGCGGACGACCTGAAACTTGCATACGCATATAACGGGAATGCAGTAGACGATACTGACGGAACAATCGAAACCGATCTCAGAAAATTCAGCGAATGGAGTAGTCAGTGGCAAATGCCATCCTCATCTGCGCAGTGACATCATCTGATCTTTGGTCCATAAAAACTTCCTCACGAAATATTCCAGGATAATGAAAATTCGGAAGCCTAATCAATAAAAGACTTAGGCCTGAATTATACAAATGCCCTTGACTTATCGTCCCACATCCAAAATATATCATCGAAAGACACTCATATGTGCGGATTCATATGTTAAACTTTCCCTTTAAATGCACTAAAAATACAACTTTTCAAAATGTAAGTTTTACCTCTCCTAGATTATTGCTCAATTTTCTTCAGCATAATACCCTCAGACGGCCGAAAAAAACAAGAAGGCATTCAGAGACGTTTTACTAGATCTTTGTCCAGAAGTGATGGCACCCAGGGTTCATACTAAGAACTCTATCATAAATGCGGTCTTCGAGCCCTCTGGAACAGAAGACTCCAAAATGGTCTAAACTTCCTATCAAAGGTCACCCATGACCGAGATATTCGCAAAATGAATTCACTAACAAACAAAAACGTCCCCAGAAACGCCAGAAACAGCGAAGATATTATAAGGATTCCCAAATTCACAAAGTCCCAAAGGTCAAATGTCTACTTCATAAGATCTGTCAGTATCTGGAATGCTCTTCCAAGTTCTATCCGGAAAAGGCGAGACCTAATCGAGCTTTTTTTAAAAAAACGAATAAATCCCTTTCAAATAACAATACACATTTACATCTGAATAAGATAGGACATTTTTCAGGTCAATTCTTCGATATAGAATTGGGTCCAAAAGTGCTCTGCTGATGCCAGCCGCTTGAATAATACCGGAACATGGCACTAAAAGCAAGCAACTTTATGAAAGACAGCATCACCGATAACCATAGGACAGATGGTGATATTCTTTCTTTCGGTCCTTCCTCGTTTCCATCAGCTAAGTCATCTGACAGTAAATATCCCTTAAGGAGCTAATAATAACATCCCTTTCGATAAAACCCAGCATATTTGTTGTGCGGAAGTCGATATTAAGGCCATATCAAACATAAATACAACTATATTAGACCATAATAAACAGTCGACCACTACTCCTATAATGTCACCTCGAAAATAAGTTCAAGGTCAGGCTGATATCAAAGTTTTTAATTTCCATGAAGGACATATTATTAATGCCAACAGAATCTACCAAATTGCGTAGTCTAATTTTTACATTGTACATATCGTTCTTTTTTAAGAAATTCTGCGATTATTTTGCCTTGGAACTCGGGTTTTTTAACTTACAACAAACTCTCCCATCGCGCTCTATTGGCTGATCAGACACCCCAAACAAACTAAATCAAATTGCATTCGAAATGGATGAGTTTGCTTTAGGTTTTTTTCCCGTGTTCAAAGAGGAATTACAGTGCCCAAGGGGCGCTATAATAAACGTATTCTATTTCCGTTTAAATCCCTTTTGCGAAACCTTCGTAACTGCATAAAAGGGCCATCTGACACCGCCGCACAGGTGTTCAGACAGTACAGTGAGAAACGTCTGCCTGAGTTGCTAGCATCCTCCACGTTGTTGGACGACGATAAGGGGGTCGAACGGCCGTTGCAGTTACCCCGTGCATCGACCGCAATCTTACATAACGGGCATGTTTTGTCCACGGACGAGCCCAGTAATGTGGTTCTCTTCGGCGGTAGACCGGTACGCAGTGACATCTGTGTCGGCCACCGAATTACAGTACCGCTCGTTCATAGATTTCCGAGACTTGTTTACAAGGCCTATGTCCGCTTCCACGTTTCATATGCTTAAAGCCTCCGTCTTGATGGACTCTTCCACGACTGCTGCCCTTTCGGACATCGTATGTAAATACGTTCCCTTTAAAACTTGCGATGAATTTTTCCTTGTTCCCCCTTGCATACCTATGGTCAAAAAGGACTTTTCTGTCATCTTTTTACACATTGTTCATGTACACTAGCATATTTACTAAGAATTTTCTAAGTACGCGTTCTGCCGAGTGCATGACTGGAATTGAACACTATCCCGAAGATATACTGAATCGTTGAGATCATGAACGAAAATACGGTCGCTGCCATCGCGAGCTCTTAGTTCTTTGACAAGAACTTTGCAATATGACCGTGGTTTGACAGACAGCGCACAAGACTTTTAGAGAGGAACGAACGCCCGCCATAGGGCGTTAAAGTCCATCCAGTGAGGGTTTGGAAAGAAAACCTCACTCTGGAGAAGGCACACCGTGTGGTACATAGAGCGGAAGACACGGACCACCTCTCCAGTACGGACCCCAAGGAATTGGGGAGGGGCTTCGGGAGAAATCAGGCGCAGCATACATTTTATATCTTCCTGTAGGTATGCCTGTCAGATGACATCTGACGACGACAATGCAGACGACGACGACGACGCACACGATCGTTCAAGGCAGTCAGAAAGGTGGCTATTTGGCTGGCCCAAACCGCCACACATACGTCAGTAAAAATCACTTCCTCGAACAAGCTGTAGGTCCATAGCCTATGAAAACATACTTCGTATTCCAGACGCAGGCAGAAGACGTATCCCGGTTTTAATATTGGCAACACACGAGTAAGCAAGTCCAAACATTATGTTTTCTCCAGACTGTCACCGAACACACACGAGTCATCAAAATCTATGCAGGCGGATTTAGCTGCCATATTGTGAGCCATTTCTCCTTCAGGTCGACATTTAATTAGTAGGAGAACGGATTCCTTCACCCAGCAGATGGTAGCGTTGCTTAATGAGATGCACCAACTAAAGGTGATTGTTGCTGAAAGTTTGAGCCTCCTTCAGCAATCCGCGGTGAACAATCTGCGAACATCTCCAATGTGTCTGCCTTTGTGCACCACTTAGGCATGTGAAGACTTCGTCGCTAGACTGAGTGCTGAGCCACAGTTTAGAGAAGAGGTGGTACGTATATATGCAAATCAATTAACTATTTCTGTCTAGCAGGTTAAATAGCTTACTATTGTGGAGGGCCGCACTGAAAAGGAGTTATAATAATAATTTTATTTAATGCCAGTTTACAGGCGTTGTCAGGTGAAGCGTTAGACACAAATCCGATCAGCAGTGAAAAAACACATGTGAAAAAGGAAAAAAATATAGTTGCTGGTGGTTTTTATGGTTTGGAGAATTCAGGAGAAAAAAACTGCTGACGACAAACTTTCGACCGTCAAGAAGGGAGGGGTTGCACGGTATCGGAGATTATCAGACGCCAATTCCTATCATGAAGTTGGGGATAGTCAAAGTAGAGGCGTTGAAGAGAAGCTGTCGCTGATGGCCAACTAAAGTGTACCTGGTGAGGCCGGCCATAGTGTTCAGCGACCACAAACGCCATCGCCACTTTACAGTCGATCAGTGGATTCAGCACCCTAATTTTGTGGGAGCCTTTCTGAATGCAAAAATCAAGTAATAGTTCTTTTAAATAAAGGATAATTTTGCAGAGTTTTCACACTCATGGGTAGTTTATTCCAAATAGCAATTGCATTTACAGAAAAGGATCGACGATATTTAACAGTACGTGCCAGAGGAAGAAATAAAAAGACCTTACGGTGACTGTTACGTCGTGGGTGGATATGATGTCTTAAAGAGGTGAGTGGGTTAAATGTGTGATTATATAAGAGTTTAAATAGCAAAAATAGTCCCTTTTGTAATCTACGGAACCATAAAGGATCGAGGCCCGTAAGCCGGCAACGTTCTTGGTAAGACAAATGTCGGTGTTCCGCGGCTACAATTCTCTTGGTAAAAAAGTGTTGAACGGATTCTATTTTCTTCCGCTCAGTAGCACGCATGAGGATAAATAAAAACGAACAGTATTCCAGGCCATGTCTAACGTACATGTTGTAAAGGCGCATTCTAATGTCTTTAATTTTAAAGTTTCGGAGGATAAACCCGGTCGTTTTACGTGCTTTGGAGACTATCAAGGCACAGTGCTCCGAGAGACTGAGACTCTTACAGAATGATACGCCCAGGGTTTATCCGACATCTTCTGAGTGCTCTGTTAGGACCGCCCTTGAGCCTCAACTTCTGTTGGATAGTTCTACAGAAGAACGCTCGTTCTCTGGTTCTCCGTTGTACCCCATTCTTAGCCGTATATCTATTTCTTTATGACACTGCAGAGGCCATTCGACAAAATACATTATTTAGTGACTGCTCGGAGGAGCTAGCTGGAAGATTTGCAATCGATTGGTTTTACGAGTCAAGAGACCGGTATGGCAGCAGACAAGTCGCCGTGACAGCATCGGGAAAGTACATTTATCATATTTACTTTGCTCTCAACAATGCACTTACGTGTCCAAAGGGGCCACTGATGTCGAACTACTTCAAACATCATCTCCGTCCAAGGACACTGTAAGTCCGATTGTAAAACTGTACGTTAATGTTAACATAAACACCTTGTTCCCAATTAATGAAATATTAGATCATAAGGGTTATATTAAATGCCATAGGAAGGGTTTGAGTGATAGGAGGGAACATATTTGCGTTTCGTAATGTCATTACAAGCAATTGTTTGAGTAGTACAATTTTTCTTCGCATTTTAAGGGTTTATGCAATATCCCGTTGATACCCGTACAGTTGATCACGAAATGACCATTTTTAAACAATGCGATCCTTTTCTTTAATTTGCTGACTCTTAAATTTATACTATCATAGAAGTTATGTTTTTAGGTGGCAGATTATTCTTTATTCCAGCAAAACTTCTGCGACGACAAAATTATAGTAGCAAACTGTTGTCATCGTTGAAAGTGTTAACACAATTATTTATCGCGTATTTTAAATCGCGCGGTATTTCACTGTGTCCTTTTACAGTTCGGCTGTCTAGTTTAACTACCTTTTATTTATTGTTTTAACACTTCCTTTACTGTTCTCTCTTTCTAGGGAACTGCGACAGATAACAAACACTTTACTGATAATTTCTGTGATCGTACACATTTTCCTTATATTTTAATACTTTGTATGTTGCCAATAAACTGCTTTTTCTCACTTGATTGGGTTCATTGTCCGATAGCGTTATGGAGAGGGTTAGGCGCGGATGCGCTAGGACGTCTACAGACGCTTGGGTCACATGAGAGGATGCCGATCTACGATGCGCCATACGTGATACATTATAATGAGGACAACAAAGTCGTTATCTGTGGAAGGAGCAGGAAAAGGTGGAAGGGAGACGTCCCGCTGTGCATTGTTTTCGCGTGAGAGAGCAATAGGGGGCAGGAGCGTCGTTAACTCAGCCACAGCTCCTTATCGTCACCTAAAGTCCCGTGGGGTTTAAGGGGGTTCGGCAGGGCTGGTGCTATCAGGGAATTGACCCTGATGGGTACTTAATAAAATTTTGTTTATTTGTTTTAAAATTTAAGACAATTGGAAGATATTATTTTTAGTAGTTTTTTTTTGACAGACCTAGAAATTTAACCCCTGTTTTATGCTTTCATTTCCTTAAATATAGGAATATTCACTCAGAACTACCAGTTGCCATTTCCTTTTAAGTTCTGCTAGTCCGTGCTTGTTGACTACCAGTTGTTATCCAAAGAAAGGCATTCAATGTTAACGTGAAGTAGGTGGTTTAATAGGATGCGAAGGGGGAAACGGTATATAATAAAAGAAAATAAGAAAGTTTGGGCACTGTGCGATGCGAATTTCGTGAATGAATCTGTACGTAACATTGTCGTCGTTTCCCGGATATAATGAACACTCGATGTATACTAGATACCCATTTATCGCGAAAAACCAAAGCCTACTCGACCTACCAATATCACATAATCCATATCTACTCGACATCACGCAGATGCACACATGCTAAATGGACGGCCATAGGCGTTATCACTAAAACCGAATATGTAAGTGTTGCCGATGTTACCTTTTTGAAACTTTGCGGATGATCTTAAAATATATGCTACAGGTGCATTTCTGAGCACTCTCAGACTGCTTATTTGTCCTTACAATGCTCTTGGCTGTTTTTCTGCCCGCTGATTTATTTCCGGTTATTCCCAACCATGTCTTGTTTTTAGTGTCTCTCTGTTTTATTCAAAAGTTCATTTCCGCCATTCTTTACGCTTTTTCTCGAAAAATCTAGTCTTTGGTAACTGTCATGCAGCTTAGTTGTCACCGCCTGTTCACGTCCTCGACACCCTTGGGTCACTCCATTAACGTAAACACATCACAGTCGTTTCAAATTTAAGTGCTGGTTCTGCATAAAAGCGCTGAAACAGAAAGACATATTTGATTTCAAAACAAAGTCTACGTTCGACCTTAAACTTTAAGGCATGCGATGCAGTACTTTTACTTTACCCACTGTCAGGCGCGAAGGACGGTTGCTCGTTGCCCGTTCACAACGTACGTGTTTTTTTGTCTCGGTATCAACTGTTGAGTCATATAGGGTTTGAAAACCTGGAGTCTCAGAATATGTGTTATTTATAACATATTTTACTTCTAGTGTTTCAACCGACTTTTAATTTTGGTATCTACCGGCTTACAGGGTAATTTTTAGCCTATGTTTACCCGTGATAGCATTCTAGTTGCCCAGGGCTAGCCCGGTCGAGAGCTAGTCTTGCGATTGGCTGACTCTTTTCGATTATTTCTCCGCGCAGAAATTCCTTTGTGTGACTGGCACCACACACGCACCGTTAGCCAATTAAATTACTATTTCTGCGCTAGCCCGCAAATCAAACGGGCTAGCAACTTTTTAGCCCTGGGCGCCTAAACTCATTCAGGGTTCGAGGGTCGCCTTCATTTCAAACTATCTAATTGTTTCTGCCCATTATTAGTTAACTGAATGAGAGAAGGCTGTTCAAAAGAGTGCAGATTAGGTATAAGATGGGGGTGTATCCCAACCCCTGTCGCATTGTATTTTGTAGACCAAAGATATGCCTCCCGACAAAATCACACTCCATAGGGCTAGCCTATACGGTCTGTCTGTCTCCAGTTTTGTGATTTACTGACTCTTGTTGGTAGTCCCATTAGGTATAATCCCCCCTACAACCCCGTCAAGTAATTGGTATCAGAGGCCAGCATTATCACTAGTCGCACACAAACCGGAAATCTGGACCGCTAGTGTAGGGCCAGACAGGAGCTAGTACAATGCTATCAGGTTCTAAGGCGAATGCTTACAGCCTCCGAGGGTAAACATCAGATGGCGAAATTCCGGAAGTAAAAGTTATTTGACAGCACCAGTACACAGCTCTCAAAGTCTGCATCTGATTGAGGTAATCCAGGGCGCGACTAAAACATCACCGGCCATTTTTGGCTTTTCGATTTTGTGTATAGGGGTTTCTTTCTTATGCCCCTAATAGCATTGCACCTGCACAAAACTGGCTCTTATCGTCGGTTTGTGGCTACTTTTGTGACTGCCTGGCTTTTGTCAGCGGTGCTTGCAGGCACAATCCTCCCAGCAGTACTTTCGCCTGACTGACGTCAGAAGTCACGTCGCGTCAACCAACCGGATAATCAGCCGCACATAAGCAACCAAATTTGAGCTACTAGTTTGGGGCTGCTCAGATGCCAGTACATTGTTGTCGGTGTGTACCCCGTAACCGAAGTCTTTTTGGGCATCGCTTCTGTTTAGGATGTCAACATTTATTCCAGTGGTGTGCATTATCTTACTTTGTTTCTAATGACAGAGCTGACCTGTCATCCGCCTAACTGTTCCCATTATTTCGTTTTGAGGTTCTGACGCTGTTATGATTGCTTATTCTGTTACGATAAACGTAATACAACCCAGTAAATGATACCTCGGATACATCGCCTGACTAAAATGAAAACTACAGTAGGATTTTTGAAGGCTGCCAGGAAGCAAGGAATGAAGACGTCGCAATATTGCTGAATTATGACAAGGGGATAACCTCCGTTTCTGTATTGACTCAACCATACTACGTCAAGGCGTTTTCCAAAATCCCGAATAAATTACAGGACACAGTATCGGGAAGCCTTATAGCTGGGAGTGACCCTCTCGGGGATAGCTGCCTTCCAGGAAGGCACAAGTATGTACCATTCGCGAGGACCTGCAAAGCGTACCTTGTGACTCCTTGTGAAAGTCGCCTTATCACCAGATTAATGTTACGCACTGACTTGCTATCATCGGTTCGACGGAACGGTCACCATCTGTCCACATTCAGTCAGGCAACCCACTAGAAAAGTGCGCGATAGGGCGCTTTGTTCTGAACATTCCATCCGACTGTCTAAGAACAACAGAGCCTCATTTATTTACTATAAAAACATGCCTCCAGCACTATCTGCAAACATCCACCGGCTGTGTTCTGAAAATTGTCACGTAGTCACTCGAATTCACCACATGTTGTTCACTTTAGAGCTTCTCGTTTTGATGCCTCGTAGCCGGTCAATGTGGTCTTAAAGGCAATCGTATTTTCATCTACACACATGAGCCATCCTTTCGAAAGCCTCAAGAACCATCCAGCATAATTGATGTTCTGAAGAAAACTAAACTGTTCAGCCCCAACATAAGGAGTCAATGACACATGGTTGTCATTAAATTTGGTAGTTCACGTTGCAGCCAAGTGAACTTATTTCTGTAATGAATCCATTAACTAAAGAGCTCTTTGACTTTCTTGCCTTAATAACCCATACATATCCCAACGGTAACTGTTCCACAAAGTGCATCCTGTAAGCTAAAGAAAAGATGGTCTGAAATGTTCGAAATATTTAATGAACTGAAGCAGTAAATTTTCTCATACGAAAAACGTACTTAGCGCAGAGACGCTTTTATCCATCACGATGATACTTTTCCTCGTGGAGTTTGATACAGCCTTTGGTTCGATCGACAACAGTGCCAATTAGAGGGTCATGGAGACTGAAGGTATGTCTCCAAAACTAGTGAAATTAATTAAGACATGTTCTAAGCTAACTGATAGGATGCTTCGAGAAGAGCGAGAACTTTGACAGCAAAGCTTCGTGTTCTCGTCAACTTTTTCGCGTTGAACCGTGGCCGTGTAATAATAATGATAATAATTGTATTTAGTGCCAGGTTACAGACATTGTTAGGGAAGCGTTAAACACAAATCCGACCAGCAGAGAAAAAACTGCTGTCGAAAAGAAATAAAAATAAAGTTGATGGTGGTTTTTATAGTTTTGAGAGTTCAGGAGAAAAAAACAGCTGACCACAAAATACTGACAGTGAAGAAGGGAGGGGTTGCACTGTATTGGATATGATCAGTCGCCAATTCTTTTTATGAAGTTGGGGCTGGTCCAAACAGAAGCGCCAAAGAACAGCTGCCACTGTTGGCTAACAAAAATTGTCCCTGGTGAGACCGGCCATTTGGAGAGTTCATTCGCCAGATTAATTTAAATTAATTTATTAAATGCCAGCTTACAGGCATTGTCAAGGGAAGCGATTAAACACAAATCCGACCAGCAGTGAAAAAAACTCCTGAGTTTAAGGGATAAAAATATAGTTGATGGTGGTTTTTATGGTTTGGAGGGCTCAGGAGAAAAAACTGCCGGCGGTGGTAGAATATCGACCGTCAAGAAGGGGGGAGGTTGCACGGTATCGGAAATTATCGGCCGTCAATTCCTTTCATGAAGTTGGGGATGGTCAAAGTAGAGGCGTTGAGGAACAGCTGGTGAGACCGGCCATAGTGTTCAGAGACCACAAACGCCATCGCTACAGTATAGTCGATCAGTGGATTCAGCACCCAAAAGTTGTGGGAGTTTTTCTGAATGCAAAAATCGAGTAATCGTTCCCTTAAATAAAGGATAATTCTGGGTAGTTTATTCCAAATAGCAATTGGACTTACAGAAAAGAACTGACGATATTTAACGGTATGTGCCAGAGGAAGGAATAAAAAGACCTCACGGTGACTGTTACGTCGGGGGTGGGCATGATGTCTTAAAGTAGTGAGTGGGTTAAAGGTGCCAATATCTAAAAGCTTAAACAGCAAAAATGGTGCCTTTTGTAATCTACGAAACCATAAAAGATCAAGGCCTGTAAGCCGGCAACGTTCTTGGTAGGACGAATGTCCGTGTTCCGGGGTTAAAACTCTCTTGGTAAAAAACTTTTGGACGGATTCTATCTTTTTCCACTCAGCAGCACGCATGGGGGTAAATAAAAACGAACGGTATTCCAGGCCAGGTCGAACGTACATGGTATATGAAGGACATCGTCTTCATAGGAATCCCTTGGGCGAAACGCAGCCCGATCTTAACTAGTAGTCGTTTCTTCCCTCAAGTACGGTTTAGAACTGAACGGTGGACAGGCCAGCCCTCAATGCCACGGAGGCCTCCGTGAATTGCTACTACCGGCGGACTACGTCCCGAACGCGAAACGTCATCGCTGGTCAGCGACACCTTCTGCAGTCGATGTGATAGAAAGTCACTACCTCCGATGGCTTGCTCACGCAGTCCGTCAACTCGAAATACAGCTCGTCCTTGACCTATGGTTCACGCAGACGGTCTCATGACGGTCAATAGCCAGTAATTGATGAGCGTTGTCGACAGGACAGGACATTAGAATTAACATTTGCGGCTTGTGAGCCGTCATCAGCCAGTGATGCCCCAACCCCACGCAGCAGTTCTTGATTATTGACTACAACTCATCGTGTGACCACCTGCGTGGACTCTAGGTCATCCTCTTAAAAACAAAACGGGAACGCTGATTTCCATTCTGCAGCTTTCTTGTCCCATTTATGTCCATCGCATATCTTATTCAGATAATAGCTTTATTGCATTATAAGAGGTACTTGTGTCAATCATTTGACGGACGTGTCGCTTACCGAGTGCATTGCTCCTCCGGACGTCGACGGTGGAAACTTACATCTAAAAATCGATAACTAAACAACTTCCACCCATATCGACAGTGTTTTACGCACACAGTATGGAGCCTAGGCGAACAGCTTCTTACTCTCCTGGCAGTTGCCACTGACGCGCCAGTAGAAGTAGACGGTTTGCGTTACCAAGTGCATACAGTTTCGCCAGCATCTGCGCTGTTTGTTGCAGTGGAAGTTATGATACTGTACGACTTTTTGCCTTCGGTGAACTCCGTCGTCGATGACGCCAACTGGTGAGTAGAAGTACCAGATGCGTGCGTGCGATAACCACTGGTTTGCGAACCAGGCCTTTTATACCGGTCTGCTATGTTACTCTACACCGAAACTGAGGCTACATGAGTGTGGCATGCTTTAGTCAAAGGCCTTTGTCACCCTATTCCATCTTAGGTTGGCCTGACTCGGACTTACTACTGAGGGGAAGAGTGAGGCCGATACGGCTCGGACTCAGGGCATGTCCCTCTTACCATGAAAATCTGACGCCCATTACGGTCATTAAAACGCTATAAAATTATTGGAGCGGGAGTTGATCTGACTGCAGTTGCTCTCCACTTATGTGACCTTGATGGGAGCCCCAAGTCCTTCCGGAATCTAGTTCGTGTCTGTGGCGACCAGCATGTGGGTGACAGATCCATTTTCAGTCCTCTCGATCTCGTTTTGTTACTGGTACCTGGCAAGTGTGGACAGAGAAGGAGAGAGCACGGTAGGCGCGGTGCACGCTTTCATCACTATAAAACGATTCACATGCAAGTCACTACTGTACTCTCGGAATTGCGGGGGTCCTTATCAATTACAATGGGTGAATTATCAGTATGCAGCTTAAAGTTGCCCCAAGGGGGCTGTATACCTGCAGAACCAGCCGCCACAAGGAGCATCTTTGGGAACTTCGAAATTACGATTTCTACTTGTAGGACCAACCCAGTCGTTTTATTTTCCCAATGAGCCCGACCGGCCAACTTTGCTTCGCACAAGAAAGCTGTGCTACCCTTAGTGGTTTTTCGTTGTTTCCCCACCGCTAAGTTCCAGTGCACTTGATGAACTGACTTTTGTCTTAAAGGCTACAAACTGAGGTGTTTTTCAAAGCCCTTCAACTTGGTTACGTAAAACAGACAACCTTTTATGATGTATCTTGTCAGGCATCACTCGTGACCAGGAATACTATCAATCAGCCAAGTGGTTCAAAAAATATTTCGATTGTTCCAACTTTGCCGTCTTTTTCCCCTGTAGATGCTGTCGAACCCAAAGAAACAGCTCTACATCAGTATAGTTAACTTTCTTGCAAGCGAACTTTCCAATACTGACTATACTGAGGACACAATCGAAAGCCTTGAAGGTAGATTCATCGACTGTTTTCCTATTGGGCCTTCATCTTATCATGTCTAGTTGCGAAACAGTGTTTGGAGAGTGCGTTTCACCTTTCCGACCAACAGGATGGCAAGACTGACAATCTTCTCACAGTCTACGAACGAGGCCTCAAAGTGATACACATGCATTTATTTGACCCAAGTCTTATAGGCTGCCCTCTCTTCTCCCTCCCCCCAAACTGCCCAGACTACAGCAGAGGTTAGTCCCGAAAATAAGGCTGTTGCGGAAAGCCTGAAGACGCAGGGTTAGTTTGCATCGTTAAAACTACTGCCAGCGTCATTTAGGCAATCACTGTATGACAGAGGAGAAATTCCACGAAGCAGTAACATGCTACTCAAAGGCAATCGAGTTGGATCCCCACAACGCTGTATACTTTTGCAATCGGTAGGTTGTGTTCTAAAGGCCTTGAAACAGCGAACAGAAGCATTTTAAATGTGGAGCTCCTCCCTTGCCCTGACTGTCTGCCCCTTCTAGCCATGCGTTTTTGGGTTTGGGTCAGGCGCCAAGGGAAGTCGAGAACCTTTGAACGCACGAAATATTGGCTTTTGCGGCCATGAAGGGCAGTATGGGTTGTGGGATTTCTTACCTAGTGCAGAATTTTGGATTTAGGGAACTCTCACAGTCAGACAACTTGTGCACCAGATGGAGTCGCGCGTGTCCCAACCGTCGTTCTGGACTCGCAAGGCGAGCCGCATATAAACCAATGAGGCGGTGGCTACTTATTATAATTAAGTACTAAAGCGCGTCTCGTCGTTTCTCCGCGGATTGTTTGGGTTTGCCAAAGCAGCTGTTTTATTTTTATTTGAGCTTAGCATTTGAAAACGCAAACTCCGATTAGAACACTTTGCAGTCACAGGACTGCCCAGACTAGCTCTCTACAAAAGCGTGGGGCGGACGCGCCTCTGCTGCGACCGATGAGCGGAAGGGTCTAGTGCTGCCTAGGCACCCCGTAAATGGCCCAAGCTGCCCCTGCTATAATCCATCATCTGATTCCTGAATCTCAGATAGAAACTATAGTAGGTTGGCGTCTAATGATGTAGTGTCTACCACCACCACCACCACCACCACCACCACCACCACCACCACCACCACCACCACCACCACCACCACCACCACCACCACCACCACCACCACCGCCGCCGCCACCACCACCAGCACCACCACCGCCACCACCACCACCACCACCACCCTGAAGAGTCCGCTTCAAACAGCCTCCAATGAGTCAGGGTGAGGTGCCTCAAACATAGCAACCGCTCTGCCAACTATCCATCTGACCTGTAACTGAGTGAGCAGTAGAGTGTGCGACCACTGCAAACAGCCGACCTAAAACATGCCTTACCACCACTTTGCAGGGCTGCAGCTTACAGCCGACTGAACAATCATGACGAATCAATCAGAGACTGCGAGCGCGCAGTCGCCATCGATGCAAACTACAGTAAAGCCTACGGTCGCATGGGGTAGGTGTTTTTTTGTCCATCCAATTTGTCAACAAGATTGGCTTACTCCAATAAGGGCAACATCCCCAAGGCCATTGATTGCTATAAAAAGGCCATCAGTCTGGATCCGAATAATCGGAATTTCCAGGAGAATTTGTCAATCGCGGAGGCCAGGCTGCGAGACTCCAACGCCGGAAGCGGACCACAGGTGGGATTCGGAGGTCCCGGTGGGCTCGATCTGGGAGCCCTGTTCTCCAGTCCAGCCATACAAGATCTGGCGCGCCAGTTTGTGTCCGATCCAAATCTACAGAATACGTGAGTTTATGTGAATTTTGGTCTAACGTGTGGCTCCTACGATGCATTTTTAAAGGCTGAAGACTTTTTAGCAAAGATGTGCCACCCTGGAATCCTAACTTTTGCCACCGATGTTGTGGGCCACTAAACTCTCTGTCTACGGCTGTCAAATTTGATTTTTTACATTCAACTGACTGTGGGATTCGGATCCACTGCAACAAAGACAAGGCTTGAGTGTGACCAAAGCTATAACCACGTGAGCAATGAAGTCTCGGCCGGTAGTGTCGGTTTTTCCCTCAGTTACGTCAAGTCGCCCGCTCAACCCCACCCATTGTGATATAATAGGTTGGCTGCCCAAGCAGGTTTTCCCAGGCGATCAACGTAGAATCCACCAGATGACTGCTGTACTCGTTTTCTAAGTCTGCTCTGGGGCCGAACCACAATTTCTTTGGTTACGGTCGACACTCCGTTTTTATTGACGCTGAAGTTCGAGATAGTGAACTGAAATCTAGGGTCGCGTTATCCTATTGGTTCCCCCCCCCCCCCGACAGCAGAAACTATTTGCCGGAGAATAAACAACTACTGGACCGCCATCAGTAGTTCGGATGTTGTATTCGTTGAATAGCAGGGCTGATAGTCAAACATGTGCTGCTGGATGCCTCCTTAAACGACTCCGAACTCACGGTTGACGTTGGTCGTTCGACCCTACAAAAGTACAGTTAGGCACGGGAATATGGACTTATCATATTACAGGTAGCCCTGTCTGAAAGTCCAGAGGGGTTAAGTTTAGGGCCAGATTTATTAGGGTTATTGCTAGGTCTGCGGTTAGGCCCGGGAGCGTTAGGGTTAAAGTTGGGCGCGAGAATAGCAACCCCGCTGGAATTTAAAGCGAGGTCGTCTGTAGTACTGAGGGTTCATATTCCCATGTCCGACTGGCCTTTCGGCCGCCCTTTCCGACGATGTCCATCGTGTGCTCCGCAGCAGATGGGGACAGGGACGGTGACCTGCGTGTGAAATACCTTATAGAAGTACTTGACTTGTGAAGCATCTACCCCACTCTCCCGTCTCCCACCTGGGGCCAGCGTTATTATACAGTCAAGAAGACCGGAGGCAGCCGGCACGGCGAAAACCCGCATCTAGGCGTACCAGCACACCCCCTGGTCCACAACGTACACTGACCATGATTTTTCGGATCAACTCGCATCCCAACTGGCGCAGCGTGGGTCTCCAATTGGGCCTGTCGTCACAGTCTCAATTTGGGCAACCTCAATAAGGCCTGTCAAGCACCGGTCTCTTCCCCGTGTTAGTCTAACGCATCTACCCCGCGACCCGTTTTAGGAACACTGTGTCCGACCAAAAGCACTGACGTCAACCAACCGCCCAAGAGATTTGGTGCACTTCGTTTCAGAGACAACACCCACGCTGCTACTAGAGCACAACTTACTGCTCAGCCATGCAAAGATCGCCAAAGATCTGTCTGTCTTCGGCAAGGATTTTTCTATCTTCGGCTGGACATCAAAGCCTCAATGCAGTGTCAAGTGTTGTATCTGATGCCTGCGGAGTCGTGTCTTCTGCTATTTGATGGGTCTCACTGGTAGCGCAGCCTAAGTCATCGTTGCCTTTAGCCTTCAATCCTTTCGTTTGGACGCCGGGTTGGATGTGAGCAGAAGAACTAGACTTGGTCCTGAAAGGCTGCCCCAGGGTGCTCTCTAGATTGCAAACCTGCGCAAACCGGTTTAGAATGTGCGGGTCAGACTGTTGTGTCATGGACCTTTCAGAAAGTTACTCCTTCAGCTCTCTTCTTGTAGATGATTTAAACTGGGGTGAGCGCATGTCGAGGGAAGTGATGTTCGAGGAGTGGTGTTCACCTACTTAGCCCACTTGCGGAGCGAAAAGGGGCTTTCTCTTTTTCCTTAGAGTTCTGGTTCAACTTCATCGCGGGCAGTCAATGATCGAGAGATACTACTAACAACGAGTGATTATTGTCTGATTGACTGTCGTCATCGGACCAGGACCCTGATCCGGATCTTGAGCCTGTCGGTCTTAGGGTATGACTGACTGTAGAGAACAAATCGCCCAAAAGCAGCTGTTTAAATCTCCCTTGACCCTGTCGTTAATGATTCCCAATATACATTCATTGCCTCAATTCTGCAAGCTCGCGCCTGTTCAGCAGTCAACAGGACCCTGGATCTAAAGTGTTTTCAAATAACTTATGATCTACGCCAAATTTTCTAGGTATTTTGCGAGTCAGGTATGAGAATCAGTAACGACCTGAACCAAGGTCCATCCTCACATGTCGAAATCTTTAGGCGTGGTCACAAGTAAAGAGAATAGTTGAGTAGATTTGGAATGCCGGTACATAACGGAAATCCCCTCTGCTTTAGTCTGCAGGCCATTGTAGGCGGGCACTCCATAGCATAGTATATTAAGGGTAGTAGGCGTTGCCCCTGATGACCCTATCGAAAACGGTACATACAATATTTGCGTCAAACACGCGTTACTAAAATGGTACCAGTAACGTATTCGTCTAGATAAAATATTTTTAGTGTTGAACCGTGAAGGTTATGGCAGACGGTCCTTTCCATGTACATTTGAAATTATAAGTGCGATTATGTACAATCAGCACAAAATGTAGTTTGGGGGAACAATGTGCATCAAACGTGCAGGGATGCGTCCACCTCGCCATCATGCTTCCCAACACTTTCTGAAGTACATGTAGTGTTGTGAGCAATGCTAACGGAGAATTCGCATTGTATATATGCCGTAAAATCAATTTTTATGGTTATAAAATATGTAGCTTTCATGTGATTTCGAACATGTGACGTCTCGCGATTTGCATCAACGATTTTGGGGGATTTTCTGGTCAGCCTACTCATTTTAATGCCTCTATTCACAGGGTCTCATCGATGATGCAGGGAATACTGGGGGGTGGCGGTGCTGCAGCCTCCGGCGCCACTGGTGGTAGAGCGGACACTGCACCGAACGGTGGCTCCGATGGACCTCCTCCTCCAACCAATCCGAGTGCCGCTACCAATGCGAACACCACTGGAGCGCCTCTGGACAACCTCCTTCGCATGTAAGTCCTTTTGTCAGAAATCCCAGTTGTACCTGGACAGCTGTCAGCTGTCTTCGTCGAAGGAATACTTTGGTGGGGTTCTAAAGCTGACTATCGTGCGGCATGACCCTGTAGTATTTCAGACACGCCTCCTTTTGGCCGCCTGTAAAAATTACACTCGGTAAATAATAACTATTCAGGTGATATGTATCTTCCCCTAATTTTCGGTGCCCTCACAAATTCAAATACATTGCTTCCTCCTCGGTCGCGGGAGTTGCATTACAGAAGTACCTGCAAAAAGCGAAGGTTCGCCTAGTAAAAACCAACATGTTTTGAGGTGATTTTTGCATATTTTAAGCCATTATGAACCACTCCTATAAACATTTCTCCTACGGTTATACCGCATCAACCCTTTATATTCTCCTAGGTATTAAGATTCGTTGAAATTAGGATACTTGGCCGAGCGCTCTGATTAAGTAGCTTCTCAGTCATCAATCAATAGCAAACTGGCGGAGGGAGCATGTACCAGAAATAAACGGGCCCATTGTCCACAGAAAACCGCGATGTATGTGTTTAAAAATGTCTCAATGTAAGATCCACAGCAGAGTGCATCTCCTAAAGCCAAAGCGTGATGTATCGAGAGATTAATGAACAAGTAAACTCAAAGGTGCAGTTAGGGTTGGCTTACACATTCAGTAGGTGGGCTAACTCATGAAATGTCGACCGAAATTCCGAAATGCGATTTCGTTTCGAAAAGATTAAGTAGTGTTGTGAAAATAGTCAGCCCACAACATAATTCTATAATATTTCAGTTACCTCAAGATACCGGCTTTTGAACGAACTTCCTTCCGGCTGCATGCAAAAACTACACTCTGTAAAAAACGACTGCTTAAGTAGCATGCATTTTTCTCGTTGATTTTCGATGCCCCAATCTTTTCGAAACGAAAACGCGTTTCGGAATTTCGGCTGACATTTCATAAGTTAGCCCACCTACTATAGGTCTGGAACCTGCAGCTAATCTGCCCGGGATGGTCAGAAATCCGCGGTATATTGTTATGACCCGGTAGGAAGGTAGGACAGGAAGAGAGCCGGTTCGGAGGACAAGCACTTTATTGGAACTTGCGGATAGGAGGGGGTTCCAACTCGTAAGAAAGGTGTGCTATTTATTGGCTCCCGTGCGTTCTGGAACATTCCGTCCAATGACGTGCCAGTCGTAGAGGGCGTTCTAGAATGTTCCTGTCCCGAGCGTGCTGGTCGCTGATTGGCCACCGCGTGCGCGATAGCCCCGCCGCGGAAACGTCTGGAATGTTCGGCCATCCATTGATTGGGCCGCACACGTGAGCAGAGCCACCACGCGTGCTCGGCGCTGCAGTGCGCGCCGGTCGGTTGTCTAACTTCGCGCGTGACTCACGTCGCCGACATGGTCCCCTGTTTGGCGCCTTAGGCCGTGGCTCTACGCCGCTTTCACTCTCCATAACATATATATTTAAATGTGCTTGTATGCTAAATTCGCGATAGTGTAAAGCCGCCAAAGCTACAAGGAATTGCAGTAAGCATGCATCGTTCCGTAAGAACGATCGGTGAGCGCCCCCTACCATTGTATATTCCCGATCGAAACCGACAGGGCAACGGGCTCTTGACCCAGTGGTTAGAGGTGTGGACTTCTAACTAACAGGTCGCAAGTTCGAGCCTCCGGTGTTCCACACTTCGGGGTTGGGTATGACGGGCTGACGACAGCTAATAAGCCAGAAATGACCATTCCAGTCTCCCTTGTCTTTGTCGGTAGCACCATTCCGCCTACTCTTTTTAGTATATACTCGATAACAAATCATCTACACTTCACATTTTATGCCTAAAGGAGGGGTATATTTAGGTTTTTTGGGAAATGTTTCAATTTTCGAACAATTTTTTGCCCGACCTGCTATTGCATTTGCGTTAAGGGTTTTCAGTTGACTCGCTGTGTATCCTTTCCGTGTGATGAAAATCATACATTCTTGTTCTATTAAGGAGATACCGTATAGGGCTGAGACAGGAGTGAATAATTGACCCCGTTACACTGCCCCCATCTCAGGACCTGCTGTTTGCGTTTGTTCTGACCAAATTACGTGCCGGTATGTGAGATCCGGGCCGCCGACCCCTTTGTGTGAAGTCTTAGTGCATTTCGCAGGTCAGGTCATGTGTGTGGTACGCGCAGCCAGGCGGACACTGCGCCCAATCTGCGCATCAGCTGACGGTGGACGGTTGTCTGAGAGCGCATATTCCTAACTGTAAGCAATCTGACGCGCTGGAATACATCGTGGTGCGCTAGGCGCCGCGGCCAGCAAGTCTGCCAACTGACGAAATATCTCGCCCCTCTTCGTAGGACGGAGGGTCAGGCTGCAATGACTCCTCCGTAACGTAGCCTTTATGACGCTCCGAATTAATTATGATCCGACGCTTATTTCACATGACACCCTCCTCATCGTCCCCGCTGCCGGAGTAATGGTAAGTGTCACCCCAAAATGTGTGCGCACGGGATTTTGACCAAGACCAGCAAAGGGAAGACAAAACGTACTTGCAGACATATCGACCATCTAGAGACAGCAGTTTCCAGCCACGGAGCACAACACCACTCTAATGTGGTCATAATTTTTTCGTTCTGACCAAATTACGCGTCGGTATGTGAGATCCGGGCCGCCGATCCATTTGTGTGAAGTCTTAGTGCGTTTTGTGGGAGGTCAGGTCGTGTGTGTGGCACGCGCAGCCAGGCGGACACTGCGCCCAATCTGCGCATCAGCTGACGGTGGACGGTTGTTTGAGAGCGCATATTCCTAACTGTAAGCAATCTGACGCGCTGGAATACATCGTGGTGCGCTAGACGCCGTGGCCAGCAACTGACGGAGGACGGATGGCCAGGCTGCAATGACTCCTTCGTAAGGTAGCCCTTTTGACACTCCCAATTAACTAGGATCCGACGCTTATTTCACATGAGACCCTCCTCATCGTCTCCGCTGCCAGAGTACTAGTTAGTGTCATCCCAAAATGTGTGTGCACGGGATTTTCACTAAGACCAGCAAACTAAGGGGAATAAGGGAGGGAAGGCAAAGCGTACTTGCAGACATATCGACCATTTAGAGACAGCAGTTTCCAGCCACGGAGCACAACACCATTCTAATGTGGTCATTACTATCTTTTGTTCTAGTGGGCAACAGTTCGCCCAGCAGATGCAACAGGCGAACCCAGACCTGGTTAATACTTTGCGTCAAAGGATGCAGGACATCGCAGGACAGCCGCCGGGAGACAGAAGTAATGATCAGAATTCTGGTGGCAACTGAAGGCTGTGTGTCCCGCTCGCCCACTACCCAGTACGCGCCTTCGGGGGTACCGCTCAGATGCTCCTCTCCACTCCGTTTATAACGAATTATTCAGGCTACCCACCTCCACTTTCGTTCCCTTTGCCCCTTAAAAGTTATTGAGCTGATGCCGGTTTTTAAATAAAGCTTGGAATTTGTGTTTTTCTGGCTCCTCCATATCCTCTGGAGACAGCTTCGCCTCAGGCACATGGGCATTTGCCGAGGGACGGGTGTTCTCCCGGCACAGGAAATGTAGTTGACAACCATAGAGTACAGTAACTTCCCTGGATCTTCTGGTTGACGAGAAATATCTGTTGGGCTAGTGTGTACTGCCCAGGGCCTCAGAGGGTGATGGGTCTGCCGGAGTTCTGCACACTACACTACGAGTAGGCGGCCGCAGACCGTGTCAGCTGTACTGCTAAAGGAGGTGGCTCATCACCAGTCTCGCAACTGTTTCTTTGACAAATGTCACAGGCCGTCCATCATCGAGGAAGGACCTGCCAGTCATCAGTTTGTTCGAAAGGTCGAACAGGACGATAATCTTGCTCTTATCTCATATAAATGCCTAACAACTACACTGGACTCAGAGCATGCATATCATTCCAGGCGCGTCAAGGGGGTGCTTTTCGGGAAGTTCTGCGGAAAATCGATATCGTAAGCAGGTGTTCGGGCAAAAGCGGGTAGTATGTCGTCGGTTAACGCAAGGAATTGAAGGGTGGAGTACTTATGTGTAAGGCCTGCTGAACAGCATCAAGAAAGACGCGTCTTACTAAAGATAACCGAAGAGGTTGCGAGTAGGAGCGCAGCTTTGCCAAATGTCAGTAAGCCCCCGAGCTCTGGTACAATGGCTATCCCAAAATAAGGCATAGCAAAATGACGATACTGCAACGTGGTAACCACGAAGAGCACTTGAACTGTTTACTTCGCCGTTGCTGATCAGAGAGCCAGGATAGCGTCCTTGAATAAGGCAAGGCCAATTGTCGAAGTCTCCAATTCATTACAGTTTATGATGCGCCATCCGCGGCGATGAACGCGCACAAGTAAGCGAGCGTAAGTGTTCACTAGGAGGCCAACTTTGGTACCCGATGCTCGGATGCACAAACATTTTTTGGTCCGACAGTTCGATCGCCGCGTTCGACGATGTCCACCATGTGCCCCACAGCAAGGTGAAACAGACACGGTAACATGCGTGAATTAAATCGCAGTGGTGGTAGACTTGCGCAGCACCTACCGCACACCCTCCCCCCACCTGGGCACGGTGTCAAAACATGGTCAAGAGTACCGGGAGCGGGTGCAGGTGGCTGGCACGGCCGGACCCGCACCTAGGGGTGCCATCGCACACACCTTGGGCCATAACAAACCTGACTAAGATTTCAACCAACAACAAGCACGGGTCAGAAAGAGAACGACTAGACAACCATGCTCACGACCTGTATACTCAGCGGGAGCGCAAACACATCTATTGGAAAAGAACTGCCAGCACACACCAGGCTGCGAGGGCCACAATCTGCTAAATCATGACATAACAGACGCACACAAACCTGAAGGCCCAGAAGGGTGATACACAGCCCTGCACCGAGACTGGGCAATCACCCTTCAAAAGCCAGGTAACCAGTCAGCCGCCGGCTGGGAGGCACTACCCATAAAACAAACCTCACATGCATGAGAGTGCCAGATGTCACGTTAAGAGGCAGCCGTGATAGCCTGAGTTCCAGCTCACCACATCAACCGGTTCTCGGTAGGGTGGAAGATACTTTCGTTTGTTAATTCTACCAAGCAAATCTTGGACAATCAAGAAACATGGGCATTGTAATGTGTAAATCCCTGCATAGTTGGGATGTGCATTGCCAGCGTCAGAGGAATTGGCGCATTCCAACACGTTGTACCCAGATTCCTGTAAGCGCAGTTGTCCTAAGTCTAGTACCGGATATTTTGGAATAGGAAGAGTCAAAGCCTAACTAGATGTAAACCGTCAAGATCTCCAGGCTCTTTTTCGACTGTCGACGGTGAAATAGACACCACTTGGCCGATTCGCCACATCCAATTACGATAAGGAAGGGTGTCCTTCGTAAAGCATAAGCAGGTGCGCTACACCATTAATATCCATAGCCGTATAAAGTGCGAGGAAGGTATGTCCCGGCATCCATCAGTACTGCAGAGTAATAAAAACGATCACTGAAAAACCCGTGAATAAGTGACAGCACATGAAAGCGGAAAATGGGTCTGATAACATTTACTGATTGAGTATGTACAGACGGTGCGGCATCAAAAAAGCGGGAGTGGTATGACGCTGGATTCGTCACCGTTTGCCAATTTTGACGCTGTAGGTTGTTAGCTGAAAATAAAACGCATTTGTTTAGACAGCACCTAATGTATGATTGGGATAGAGACAGAAAACTGAACATGCCTGTCAGTCAGAAACAGCAGCCAAACTCCGAAGGGGTACTTCAATAAGTTAACGAAGGTGAAAACAGAAAAGAGGTAGTACTGATTGGGGGTGTTGTATGGCTAAAGACTATCCTGCCCACGTTCTAAAATCTACTGATGCAAGTCTCAGCCACAAGGACAATAACACAAAAGTCGTGTCATAGAATTTGCCAACCCTACTCAGATACGGCCGCATGCGACTGGGTCTCAGCTTTCTCATTCCATTCTGGTAATACTCCGTCGTACAATGCTAAATGTGACAGGCAAGCTTTATAAATATGTAATATGGTCTAATAGAAAAGATTTATCACTGTAAGTCACATGTGGTTTAAGTCAGTTGAAACAATGAACATGAGATGAATTACAGAGGTTTCTCACTAAATCGGCAAAAGTAAACTTCCTGTCAGTAACGGAAAAACATTGTGAAATGTGATCAGGAGCGGTGACAAATACAGCCTGCATGTGAATAGTGACTGTGGCAAATGGAGCAGCATGCAAGCCAGTGAGAATCAGCAAACACTATAGTTATCGGAATCTTCGTAAGCATATGAAACACTAACCGGAAAGTTCTTCAGTTTGCGTTTAGGCGCAGTATTCTGAGGAATTTCTTTCACTTCTTGGTCGGATTTGGCAGTGCTGCCCTTGGGTTTTGAACCCGGTAATCCGGCTGACAAACGATCGAGAAAATCAGAAGTGGTCAGGTCCGCGATAACTTTTTCTTGTTGGAACACAAGCGGTCCAGCAGAACTCAGCTTTTCTTGAAGACTACTTTGATGCTGCCGGACTGCATTGAACAAAACGACGACACCCTGTGTTGCCTGCCTTCGTAATCGCCTCTCGCGGGCTTTTTCTGACTGAATGTCTTGGGAATCAGCCTTTACGGGGTGTTTCGAGGAACCAGCTAATAGTAAGTTCTGCGCAGTTTCTCGCACACCTGCCGCTGCGATCGGCTTTTTATATGACTGGGACGTTTGACGAAGAATTGTGTGTTACCTGTCGTAGCCAAGCCTTCCTTTCAGACATAGGTCGTGATAGGTGCAAACCAGTGCTGCCGTCATTTTCCTCCGGGTAGTTGTCGGAGGATTTTGACTTCTCTTGATCACTTTTTGCAAGTGCTAAAATAGGGTGGACATTATCAGGGAGAGCCTCTGCCAGTATCCGATTTATCACATCGACGACCGCCTGATAAGACATCGCGCGACAGATTCAAAAAACAGCAAAGTAACTCAGTCCATTCTAAGTTACTACAGTGCCGCTTGAAGGGCTAACACCGAATGTTAGTCATGATACAAACAGCAGAAATATACCCACTGCAAGTTATATCCTTCCTATCTCGTTAGATTTATCCACCACGTTGCGGAAGCCTGTAACATAATCAATATGTGACTATCCCGTGGCCACTAAACATCAGAACAAATAAATCTAGATTCACACATTTAAATCGATACATCACTTGGAATGTAACGTTTACTAAATTGTTGGACAGAATTATTGTCATCAGGTTTGCTAATTTGTGCGCAGCACTTTCCAACATTGTTTTCACCAGATCGCTCATGTAGGATAGAGGGAATAAACCAAGCACATTCAGCCTCTCCAGGTACGAAAAGTTTTTTAGGCCATCGACCATCCTCGTTGCTCTGCGCTGCAATTATTCGAGTAGGTCAGTATACTTCCTCTTCCATGGTGAAACTGCTGGAATTTTATATTCCAGGTGGGGTCTTACAAAGACGCCGAAAAGACTACCAAAGTGTCCAGGATGAAATGTTTTAAATAACCGTCCGTTCCCATGTAAGGTATTAGCTGCCTCCTGGACCATCTTATTTAAGCGTTTCTGACGGCATTAGATTTGTGGCGAACCATACACCCAGATCTTCGTTAAATGTCCCGAAACATTTCTCCCGAAAAATACGAACTCACAGAAAGACGGAGCATCCCAACCTTCAAGACGCTCCCAGGGATCTTAGAGCTGATGCCCATTTAACGGCTGATAGCTTCAATGCTTTCCTGTCCAAAAAGTTTATTGAAGACTCGACCACTCCGCCTTCAACCATCCAGGCATTGACGGGAACAGTTCTCGAGACTTTAACTTTCACTCTGGGGGATGTGACTGTTGCGATTCGGCGTTTTCGTCAATCTCATAACCCAGGGCCTGACGGTGTCCCAGTAAGAATTTTAAAAGCCGATTCAAATACTATTTTTTCATCCCTTTTATGCAAGATATTTAACCTCGCTCTTGAGTGTGATACCTATCCTACGTTGTGGAAGGAATCACACTTTTTTCCCATTCCCAAGCATGGCCGATTTACGCCAATAAACACCCTCCCTGCAGTTTAGAAGATCTAAGTGGCATTGATCAAAGATAAGATGATGTGTCACTTAACAGAGCATAACCTACTGAGTGTTGCTCACCGTGGATTCCTCAAAGCTCGGTCTTGTGACACCTGCCAACTTTCTTTCTTTGACTATGTTTTCCAATCTAGGGACAATGGTTTTGCGCTTTACACAGTATATTTCGATTTCACCAAGTCTTTTGATCGTGTTGACCATGTTCTTCCTCTCTTGAAACTGTCCTCTTTCGGAACAGCTGGCAAAATTTGAATTTTATATCCCCTTACCTGGGCGTTAGTATACAACGAGTTAAGATTTCCAATATTATCTCCAACCCCTCACGTGTGAGGAATGGAGTCATTAATGGTGGTGTATTCGATCCGCGCTTATTTTGCCTTTTTGTTAAAGATGTACGAGATTTATTTCAAAATGGTAAGCCTTTCATGTATGCCGATGATCTGAAAGTCGCTTATCGATATAAGTAGGCAGATCGGGACATCGTTCTTGAGCTCCTAAAGAGTGACCTACAGGCTTTTGCCCAGTGGTGCCGCACATGATGCCTTTCTCTCTGTGGCATAATTTCTCAGTCATGGTGGCTTGCGGTGGTCGTTTGCCGGTCCGAGTCCGAGCCGTAAATTGCCGGGATTTTGTCATCCGTGCTGGATGCTCGTGTGACGATTGCTCGGCAAACTGGGTTATTGTCACCGTGATAATTGCTCGCCCGCGCACTCCCCACGTGACTGGTTCTCCTGCCCAGGGAAAATCGCAGTACAAAATCGGTTACCGGGGTGTTATCATGCTTGTTGATGGATTGCGGGCCTGATAACCATGACTCGAGCAGCTCCCGGCTCACGCGGTTGTCACTACTTGCGAGGATTTCGGCCTCTTGAAATTTGAAAATATGGCCGGGTCCCGTCGAGTGTGCCACCAACCGAGAGTTAGCATCTCCCCGCCTCACCTGCAGCTGCGTGCTGGAGAATTCGCGTTCAGAGTAATCTCCCAGTTTCCCCGACATAATTGCTTTGTCCGCAACTACACCAGATCCGGTAAACGACTTCAGACGTTTCCTGCCGTGTTAGCGGGTCTTTTGGCCTGATGGAAACGCCTAGATTCATTTACCGGATCTGGTGTAGTTGGGGACAACGCAATTATGTCGGAGAAACTGGGAGATTACTCCGTACGCGACTTGCCGAGCACGCAGCAGCAGTGAGGTGGGGAGACGCTAACTCTCAGGTGGCGGTACACTCGACGAGACCCGGCCATATTTTCAAATTTCAAGAGGCCGAAATCCTCGCAAGGCTTGAAAACCGCGTGAGCTGCCAGCTGCTCGAGTCGTGGTTCTCAGGCCCGCAATCCGTCAACAAGCACAATGACCTCCCGATACCATATTCCGTGCTGCGATTTTCCCTGGGCAGGAAAATCGGTCACGTGGGGAGGGCGCGGGCGAGCAATTATCATAGTGACAGTGAGCCAGTTTGCCCAGCAATCATCACACCAGCATCCAGCACGGATGACGAAATCACGACAACTAACGACTCGGACTCGGACCGACAAGCCACCACCGCATCAATTACGACCCCAGCGGTGATTGCGAGAACTGTTAATTGCAATGCGCATACGGTCCCACGGCAGCCACGTGCTATAAATACTGCACTCCTGGTATCACCATCACCTTTATCTGCGAATGTCTATGATGATGGATTCGAGTCTGAATACGAAACGTCAGGCAAATAAATTTATTGTTCCAGTGATCGCATCTTCATTCTCTTAACTGCTACCTGGAACTCTCCTTTTCGCTTCTTTCAACCATGTGTTTGACCAAACGCTCAGTTTGTCAATGTTTGACTGCAAATTCTTTGCGTCTTTATAGCACGTGACTTCACTTCATATTTTTATGTCGCCCGCGGACATGGGAGTCTCACAAGTTAGTTTGGCGATGCAATCGCTTACCTAAGTCAGACAGAGCAGTACGTCAAAGCATAACCCCGTGGAACACAAATTTCAGGGTCCCATCAAAGCGTTACTCACAAGGACTCTCTTTACACTGGAGGACAGAACACTTCTTACCCACTTTAACATTCTTCCTTGGATTTTAACACTCCCGATCTCCTGCAAAAGAACCGTGTTTTTGGACGCTATCAAAGGCCTTCTTGAAGTCAAATATATGACATCCACTGTATAACCATTGTCTGTGGCTCTTGTCCATTTCACGTGCGAATATAGTACACTCGTTAGGTAGGAGCGTCCTGGCCGAAATCCGCGTTAGGCATCTGAGAATGTTTTGTTTTTTCCAGGTATTGCAAGAAATACCTTTTGATAATGCGCCCCATTATTTTATCGACAATGCAAGCAAGGCTGACGGAACGATAATTTACACGGGCAAGACGTGAATCTTTATGGCCCGGGGTGATTAAAGCGCAATTACTTTCCTGTGGGAGCTCGCCTTCTTCAAATGACTTTTGAAATATTGCAGACAATGGTTCGCACAGTTCACTGGTAAGTTCTCGATGTGCTGGTGCGGGAATGTTATCCGGAAGGTAGCGAGTGAGGCTTTAACCTGGTCATCCGTCTCTGGTTTTCCATTTGCATACTTAAGGGCAGGAGTGAGTTCCTGAGCTCTTTTAATACGTCGTATATGGTCCTATATAATTTTCGAGTGCTCCGGCGAATCTTGCGATATTTTCAGTTGTAATCCTCGTCGCTGCTTGAAAGCCCCACGTTTACAAACGCTGCGTTTTTTGCTTATATTCTCGTTGGTGTTCTTGACAGTCGGTTGGTCTGTAACGCCGCGATAGGCGATTTCTTTTTAGAAAGAGGCCTGTAAGTTTGACTTTATCCACTTTGTACGGCTTGCGACCCCTTCTTCTGAAAGGGCAGTTGGAACAAACAACCGCAATCAATAAAAAATTGAAAGTATATCGTTTGTCGTTTGTTCTGAAGCAGCCGATCCAGTCCCACTTGTCTCCGGCTCCGTTTTGTCAGTCGGTGGCCGTGGCAATCGTTGACACGCGGCCACCTCCGTGGAGCACCTCCGTCCAACTGCAGTGACTCTCGGCTGCCCTCGAAAACTTTCATCACCTCATGCGCTTGGAACGCTCTGCCTTGATACCTGTGGGCCCTCGTGAGTATGCGCCCCTCCCCATTCCTCCTCTAATTTGTCCAAGCGCGCGACAAGCACTCAGCCATTCACTCCCTCCCGCGGATAAATACACGCACTCCAGCTACACACGGCGGCAAACCGCGACGGGCGCTCTCCGTGAACGCACATTTATCTCTATTGCAAGCAACCAGCCAACTTACGGCAACCCACCCTGTTTACAGAATAAACTACTCCTAACAACTCCCTGACTTCTGAAATTAGACGAAACGAACTTATCGTGCGTGGTTTAAGTTGATCTCGCATACTTGACCGCCAGAAATTGGTGACCCTGAATTTTAGAGCACTGGAATTCAGCAGACATTTCGTCCACAATAACAATCTTCCGGCGACCTACAGTGCGATGTCAAAAGATCAGAAGTCACTCATTAACTGAAACTCACAAGGAGCTAACCTATGCTTGCATCGGCTGGAGGAGGTATCAATGTGTCTAAAAGTCCAGTTTACTGCAGTTATCACTAACGGCCCGCGGAAAACACCAAACCGACAGCGCACCTCCTCCGTTTCCCACGTCCGCCGTTCACGACCTCCAAGTAGCGCCTGCTGGTATCACCAACAATTTGGAGGAGCAGCTCGACGATGTCTTCAGCCATGCCATTTCGAGGCATCTCTAACGGCCTCGGGGAGTCGATACCGCCCGACAGTAGACGCTTCTGCCTCGGGAACCGCTGCTAATCTGCACACCCGCCGTTTATTTCTCTGGGATCGTATCGCTGGCAACAAATTCCTTGTCGACTCTGGTGCCGGGGTTAGCGTGGTTCCCCAAACTACAACCGAACGCAAAACCGAAGCACATTTTGTCTACCAGCTGCCAAAAACTCCAGCATCTCCACCTTTGGACAGACTCCATCATGATGCCGCCGACAATTCTCTCCTCATGAGAGAATAGTTCCCTTTTTAAATGTTTCTCTTCCACCTCTCGGCAATATTCGTCTAAGAAACAGTGTATATTCGAAAAAAGATCGTGGTGTGGTCGCTTGACACTAATGACGGTCGGTCCTGCAAATCTGACTCATTTTCCACATATGGAGTACAAGAATGTCAAGACAGTTCGACTGTCGTCATCCCCAATCCCGAGTTTCGAACGTTACGTTCTGGCGGAGATGTCTGTCCGTCGCCCACTTAGTAGTTTGTGATTCAAGTTGCCTTGCGTCCCTTGCGCAGTTCACGTTAGTCAGTCAATGCCAGGAACTTTGAAGTCCACAACCATAAGGACATCTTTCTTTTCACTGACTTTATACAGCCCAGTTATAAGCATGAGATCTTGTTCAGATGTCTGGCTAGGTTAAAAGCACACCGCTGACAGCGTCATTTGTCGGACAATTTAGCAGATATAGTATAATAAAAACCCATGATAATAATAATTTTTATTCAACTTCCGTGGGTTTCCTTTCATAGCAAGTAAGAATAGTTTTACATTAATTTCAGAATTTTAGACGAGGTATACAGAATTTATACAATACTTAATTCATAGTTATTGAATAAGTAGTATGATTCGAAGAATGTTGAGCAAGCAGTGAAAAAAACTCCTAACATAAACAAAGTGAGAATGACTGGGTAAGCACTATAGGAGAAAAAAACTTTTGCTCCTTAATATATAAAAAGCAGGCAAGACCGGCCTGTATATGGCATTTTATAGCGGATTTTATTTAAAGGTAAGTAGGCGGGCCAGACAGGACTGGCATCTATGTGGTCCTGAGTAAAATGCTCGAAACGGGCATTATCAAGACAGAATTCAAATGCCGGATGAGGCCATTCATGTCAAAGAGGCGAAAAGAGAACCAGCCTCGAGGCGATAGGAACCTTTGTGCGGTCGGTTACATCCCACCGAGGAGGGACTAGAGAGATGAGACCAGAATACTAGGGTCTGCCAAGGACGTCGATATATAAGTAGAACGTTCCGTTTCAAGAAGAGTTTTATCCTGTTTCACATACAGTACAAATTGACTTGTCTACGAGGGTGCTTTATTTGAGGATAACATCAAAATATGGCAAGCGATCAAAGGCAACAATGCTGTGTGGACTCTGACAGAAGGACCGAACTACCTGTGCGAATGGTTACTAAAGTTTGTCATTGGGAGGCATCATAATACGACTGGAGTCCCAGAAGGCGAGTGCAATGGACGATTGTCATCAACAATTCCTTGGCAGAAGATGTCTGCCAAAAAATATCAATTAACAAACGAGCAAGTCATTCTAAACATTTTGTTCATGCCAACGAACAGTTCTGTCCGTATTATACAATAAACCTCAATAAAAAATATCAGAGAAGGCTGGATAATTCTTTCGGCGATACATTTGTCGGTATTTGAAATGCCAACGTTCAGTTCAGGTCAGTTCACTTTATTGAGGGAAATAGGCGTAAGCCTTTGAGTACCCTATTTGCAACGTAAAAAATGTGTGGTGTACAGATAGATGTTCTGGGCTGAAATAGTTTGAACACGCCCATAATGGAAGGACAAAATGAGAACGAGTTACAGGGGGTGAGCTCCACTTCTCATCGCTCTCGGTCATTTCGGAACATAAATATGTCCAGATTCTTCATAAAACTTTGTATAGTTGGTGACATCACAACAACTGCGTGAAACTCATTCCGTGGTTTGACCACCCGAACCGAGAAGGAGAACTTCCGCACATCCAGCCGTGCCTGCTGAGTGCGCAGTTTTAACGGGTGACCTCGGAGGTTGGTCGTGGTAGCAAATTCAAAAAAGTCCTCGAAGGCCAGACTGCAATCCAACCCCTTTACAATGCGGAAGGCTTGCAAGAGATCTCCGCGAAGTTACCTGTAACTCAAAGGAAAGAGGTTCAGATTTACTAAGCGCGTTGCTTAAGGAAAGGAGCTTTGACCCCTAACCATCTTCGTGGCTCTCCTCTGGAGTCTTTCGAGGCAGTTTTGATCCACAACAGCCCACGGCCTCCAAGCTTGTATGCCGTACTGTAAATGCGGTCGGACGAATGTTCCGAATGTCTTAGACAAAGCTTCTTCGTCAAAGTCCATAAACGCACGCTTGATGGCGTACAGTACGGACATTGCGGTTTTTGCCACCCTCGAACAGTGGGCGGATGGTTTTAGGGAACTCGTCATAAGCACACCGAGGTCCTTTTGGGCTTCGACCTCTTGTAGGGCTGCACCGCCCAGAAAGTAGCCTCTTGTGCTGGCGGATCTGGCTGTGTTGCCTAGGCGAAGTATGCTACATTTGGCAACGTAGAACCGCAGGAGCCAACGTTTTGACCACTCCCCCAACCGATTCAGGTTCATCTGCAGTCTGTCTTCATCGACAGGACCCCGAATTACACTCCATATCTTCATGTCATCCGCAAACATTGCTACTTCACAGTCTAAAGCTCTTGAGGCATCGTCCTCGTACATAAGGAACAAAATGGGTCCCAGTACTGAACCCTGGGGGACAACAATATCGACCATTGTCGGATCTGATTTTCCCCGACCGACGCACACAACCTGGTGTGTTTTCGATCCATTGAAGGAAGTTGCCACCGATCCCTATTTTTTTCAGCTTATGTAAGAGCCTTTGGTGTGGCACAGTGTCGAAAGCCTTCTGGAAGTCGATGAAGGCAATGTGGACCGCGTGCCTCTCATCGAGAGCTTGGGTCCAGCTCTGCAGAGATTGCAGCAGGTTTGTCGTGCAGGATCTTCCTGCTCGGAACCCATGTTGGCATTTCGATAGCAGGCCGTGAACTTCCAGGAATTGCATCAGTTCACTCTTTATGATCCTTTCCATAACTTTGCAGAGAATGCATGTCAAGCTTATGGGCCGGTAATTTGTCGTCGCTGCCCTGTTACCTCCTGTGTGTAGCGGAGTAATATGCGCCAGCTTCCAATCGACAGGAAGTGTTCCAGTGTCAAATGACGTTTGTAAGAGCATCGACAAATGCACAGAGAGGTCACTGGCAAGTTCCTTCAGAAGCTTGGATGGAATCTCGTCTGGTCCTGGCGACTTCGATTCGTTCAATGCCTCTAATTCTCTACGGACAATGCCTTCTGAGAAGAGTATATCACTGACGCTTGGAGTCGGCAGTTCTTCTGTGGAGGGAGGAAGGAACCTTGCCTCCTTTGTGTAGATTGATTGGAAAAACCGTGAAAAATACGCAGCTTTATCCTACTATCAGCGATCTCAACGCCATCAGTATTCTTTATCAAAGTGATTTGATGCCTGTTACTTGTACTTCGTCGGAGTTAGCTGTAGAGCAATTTTGGGTTCTGTGTTGCTTTTTGTAGCAAGTTCTTCTCGAATTCCCGCCGCGTCTGCATTATCAGCTTCCTCAGTTTGTTCCTCTGTGTCTTGTAGTTGTTGAAATATTCAACTTGCCCAGTGACGCAGTATTTTCTCCACAATTTGTGCTTCCTGTTGATTTCTTTCTTGAGGATGCTATTTAGCCACCCAGGGCGTTTGTTCAGTCTTACACTAGTCAGTGGGCAGTGGTTGTTGATGAGCTGCAGAAGGACATTCTTCAACAGCTCCCAGTCATCGTTGGCACTTCCCGTAAACAATGAGCCCCAGTCAAAACCGGATAAGTCTGCCCTCATCTGATTGAAGTCGCCCCGCCAAACATTACGTCTTTTGTGGTCTGGAGTATGTGAAATGGAGAATAACGAATAATCCCACATAAGCACTACGTGGTCATTTCGGCCAAGGGGCGGCATAGAGGCGATTTCGTCTATGCTGTCTGGTGTTTTCGTAAAGACCAGATCCAGGCAGTTTGCCCTGTGTCCTTCACGTGTTCTCGTTGGGAACATTACATATTGTGTGAGGCACGCATTTAATGTTTTGCTCAACAGGCGGTAATCGAATGCCGATTTTGGACCTGACGCTTGGAGGGTATTCCAGTTTGCTCCTGGTGCTTTAAGGTCGCCCATTATCATGATGTTAGGTCGACTGGACAATTTCTCCAACTGCTCCAATAGTTGAGTTTTGGCAGTTTGGTCTGTCCTAGGTGGTCGATAGACAGTGAGGACATCGAGACACGGAGAACCGGTAGCCTTGATGGTCAACCAAATAGCTTCGATGCCGCGCGCAATATTGGTGGTGTTTTCCGACACTGCCAGGCCTTCATTCACATACGCAACGATACCACCACCCTGACGATGTTCCCTGTCCCTCCGATAAATTTGGTATCCAGGCAAGGCTCCTCCGATATCACTAATATTCCCGGAGAGTCAGGTCTCAGTTACTGCTAAACCATCTGGAGACAGCTCAACAAGGCAAAGTTTTAGTTCGTTTAGTTTCGATATGAGGCTTTGGGCATTCGTGTACAAGCACCTCAGTTTAGCCCTAGCCGAATTTTTCGTTGCATTTGTTACTGCTGTGAGCATTACTCCGTTATCGCGGACGTCGTGCTCTCTAGGCTTTTCCGTTAACTGATTGGTTCCATTTACATGCCTTGTTTCAGTCAGATCACTGGACGCTACGGGATCACTTGTGTTGGCGCCTTGATCAGGTGGTTCAACGAAGGTGTCTGTTTTAGCTGAGTAGCTGTCGTCGTTCGTAGTATTACAGGCTGGTTCCACTGAAAAGGCATATATTTCCGAACTACCTTGCCCTTGAAGATAGCCAGATTGTGTTCGCCATCCTTCAGTCTTGATTTTAACTCCAAGACAAGTTCCCGGCGTTTCAACCGTTCCGCTGGTGAATATTCCGGTTGAAAAAAAAACCTGTTTGTGTGTGTTTCTGAGATCGGTTTTTTTAAATAGGATAAACTTGATTTGCTCTTTGTTCTTTAGCATACTTTTGATTCCTGATTTTGTGATGGATCGCGTTTGTTTTTTAGGTGAGTTATTCGCTCATAGTCAACATCTGGAATACTAACTTGGCCCTTTGTGGACTTCGAATCTTGAATCAAGAGCAGGTATTTTTTCAAACTTGGTGTTTCTTACATATTTGTCTTTCGGACGGTATGTCAGGACAAACTATTTCCTTTCATGAAATGTATAATATGTTCATTTTATGACCTAATTATACTACAAAAAACACAATTAATACGTTAGCAGGGATAATAGTCGGTTCACATTCTTCCGAAATCATTGTTTACAATGTTATGCGTAAATATCTACGCTTGATAGTTTTATTCGCAGAATTAAGGATGCAGATTTTTACTATTTAATCCTTCTTATTTTAGCTGCCTCCTTTTGCAATTATGTCTTCAGTCCTACACTTTTACTGCCCCTTTGATTTAGGTTTTTTCTAAAAAAAGTAGGATATTAACGAATTGGTTCTTTTTTCCTTTTAACGAAAATCTTTCCTTATCGGCAAATGGCATTTGCCCTGCTAACAGTAAAACTCGAAGTGGTCTTTTATTCTGCGTGACTTTTCCGTTTACGCGTACTTGTCCAGAGGTTGCGCGTGAAGCATCGCAGAGGGAACTCGAAGACCTCTGACGAAGATTGGAGCTGCCCGAAGGGTGGAGACGCGTCCGCATACTTATTTAAAGCCACCCAGAGGCCCATTGCAAACTAAAATAACACCGAAACTGGTAAACTAGGCCTCTCGAAAGTCGGAGTCAGTGTCTTGATGCTAATATGTTGGAAACACATTTGTGATAACTACGGAAATTGCCGTACGCACACCACATGGTTTGCCTCGTGCTGTCCTTTTTGAAATCAATTTTACAACTGAAAGGCTATAGCAGGAGTCTGCTCTTATTGATATTCTTTTGTCAACAGACGATTAAGCAGCAAGCCAGGAACAACTGCACACAGAAAGACTACGAACACGGCTCAGAACACTAGTTTTTGCTGTAAGCATCCGCTTGCTGATGAAAAATCGCATAAAAGCCCCGTATGGCAGGGATCGGACACGCTGTAGGATTCCGGAGCCAAGGAGAATTGGACCCGCTATCTACGAAATAGATTCCGAAAGAATGACTGTTTCCCGGTCTCATCACCGAATTTCGACGACGCTGGGAAAAATCAACGCGTGCCAGTGAGAACCGCGGGAGTGACTTGCGTTATCGTACAGCAGAGGCGTCTGATAGGTCATAGGAAGCATGATCCTAGGACAAATTGTCGGTGTCATATACTGGACAGTGTTGGCGTTGCGCAGCTTGATCATGCATATCGGATAATGACTAAGTTAAAGTGAGCACTCAAGTGTAATCTACAGCATTCCTTTCGTTTATTGCCCGACTCAACGTACAGAGTGAAGATCAAGGGGCATTTTCGACGTAGGGACGTATTATCACTCGTGAATCAGTCAGCATAAATTTAATTGTCACTTCGATAATCGGAAAATGCGCTAACGGGACATTGGTAGCCTGGTGAGCCAAACTCCTTTCCGTATACCAGACGCGACGCAATCAACCAGAAAGACTTCATCCAATTCCATAGTCGCTGACTGTTACAAAGACTGATACAATGATCCTCAGAATCACAAGGCTAGTCCACGATGTCATTTTCCTGTGTCTGGATTTTTACATATCTTAGAAAGCGGCGCTGAGGATAGGTCTAGAGGCAAACGAATTATTGTTCCCTACAATCCTGTCCTGTCCTTCCCGTTTTGCATCTGGCATCCACTTGATGCCTGCATTTTGTCGAATCCGTGAACATTTTGTTTTTCTTATATTCACTAATTAACTCAGACCCTCTAAACCCGTTGCGAGAGTTGAACTTGCTTATTCCGTTCATGGATGTTTCCTTCCGAATCGCGCCAGTCGCTGACTGTACTCTTCAGTTAACTGTTCAAACACACCGTTCGCTCTTGCAACATTCTTAATCGAATCATACGTCACAAAAACTTGGAAATTCAAACGCTGGTCTTCTTGATGGGGTGGAGGCAGAGATCCCATCAGCAGTCCGTCCGTATTTCTCCAGTTTAGCGCACCCCTTCAGTTCAACTTTTCACCAAGGAGCCTTTTCAAGCCACTGAACTGTTGTTATCGCGGCTCTCCTCGTAACCAAAGAGAACTTGGTGTGTAGGCGAAAAACCGATGCACGATTGCTCATGTTTAAAGCTTCAAGTACTTCACAGTCTGCCTTCAAATCTGTCCGTGTGGCTTTCTCTTATAAGCACAATCAGTTATAGCCGGTTCCCTCAGTTTAGATGGCAGTTTGTATACAATTCATCTTATTATTGCATAACCAATTCCGCAAGCGTTTTTCCACCAGGACTACGGTCGCCTTTGGGGCATTTTGCTGTCATGAAAAGTCCCACCAAGTCTTCACCTGATATTTTTGCCGAGTAGTTCCCTCAGGTTTGAGTTGAAAGTACACGAAGGTCTGGTGTTGACCAGCTGTTCGGGTGTATATCGGAGTTCGAATTGTGGTCTTTGAATCATTTAAATCCATTTCCAGTCCGTTTGAGTCCGTTCCGAACTTTTTGAGTGCGAAGAACTGGTTGTTGTGAAACCAGAGACTTCATGTCTTCAATCATTTTTTCAAACACCTTGATCACGAGCCTGTCATTGGAGTGC